CTGGGATTCCATTACCCCCATTGCATTAGGGATCCCACTTTGGTTGTTGCCGTTCCTACTGTAACTTTTGACCTGCAGAGGAAGTTACCATGGAGCTCTTCAAGGATGCTGAGGACTCCCTCACAAATTTATTCCTCACAGTCATGGTGAAAGGTGTGTCCTCTTGACCCTCCTGAAGTTGGTGAGCAGGTCTTACAAGATAAATCCACTCTAACACGCCAGTCTCCCTAAGCTGTTGGATACCTTCCTCTACAATATTCCAAAGCAGTTCTGGCATTTAACTTCCGTTTGGGTAGGCCAGCTTTGGGGCCGTGTTTTAGACAACCAACCAAACTGTTAGAGACCTTTCTAACCCCTCAATCTAAAACATTGAATTCAAGATCTCTCCTGAGCAGGCCCAAATCAACAAATCCTGTCTGATTCAACTTTATATTCCTTCCGCCATAATCCTAAACTTTTAGGATCCATTCTATACATATTCCCCAAATTTCTATATGTATAAATTGGAAAAAGCATTCAGCTTTTTTGGAGTGTGCTGTATCTCCTCATGGGTCACACTTGGTGCCTCACTTGGAGCTTGCTGGGACTTGAGCCTAGTCACAGGCTGAGAAGCTAAGAGTGGTGGCAGGAGTAGCAAATTAATACAGGCCCAGACTAGGGCAGAGGCTGTGGGGATGCGTAGGAGGATGTGATGGTTAATTTTATGTCAACTCGCCTGGGGCATGGGGTGTACATTATTCTGAGCATTTCTGTGAGGATGTTTTTGGATGAGAGTAACATTTAAATCAGTAGACTAAGTAAACCAGATTGCCCTGTTTGATGTGGGTGGGCCTCATCCAATCAGTCAAAGGCCTGAAGAGAACAAAAGGTCTGACTCTCCCACAAGTCAGAGAGCATTCTACCTCCCTGATTGCCTTCAGACTGGGACATTGAATTTTCGCATGCCTTTAGATCCAAATGAAACATTGGCTCTTCCTGGGTGTCAAGCTTGCGAGCCTTCGAACAGGAACTACACCATTGGTTCTCCTGGTTCTGATTGAAACTAAACCATGGACTCTCCTGGTCTCCACCTTCCGGATCTTGGGACTTGCCAGCCTCGATAATAATGTGAACTAAATCCTTATAATAAATCATATATATAGTTAATTGGCTCTGTTTCTCTGGAAAACCTGACTAATCCAGAGGGAAGAATGAGAAGGACCTTAAGGAGAAAGAAGGGATAAGTCTTAGAAACTGATAAAATATAGATTTGGAGGACAGGGGAAAGAGATGAGAATGATTCCAAGGTTTTACCTTGGAGACCGACCAGAGGAGAGTGTGCTTAACTTAGATAAGGAAGTCAGGAAATGAATAGGTTTCGAGGAGAAGAGAGTGTATCTGATTTAGCCAGCCTGGGTGTGCGAGCCGTGGGATTCACGTAGGGGCACTTATACATTCCTGGAAGGAACTTGGGACCAGTTTTGGAAAACAGGTCTAGTTCTGAGAAAACAATGGGAGTCATCTCTACAGGGAGAGTTGAAATTTTAGAGCAGATGAGACCAGGTAGATGATCTCAAAGATGCTGCCCAGCTTTGACTCTCTACGACGAGTTTGACTTCTGGGATTATAATAGTCCTAGTTCTGAATATTCTTAAAATGATCTTGGCATCTAAGTCTTTCATTAATCACAGATTTGCAGTGTTGAATCGTGCCTCAGAGACCACTGCTGTTATCTCTCCCCCACCACCCCTGCTAGATGGTCTCTCTGTATCTACTAACACCTACAGGAGCAGGAAACTCCCAAGGCAGCCTATTTCTCTTTAGTCAGAAAGGGAAAAAGGCTGATTCTTGAGAGGAACCAGCATGAAAAGGGATTGAGGGAGAAGATTTGTCAGCAAAATAGAGGAAGCAGTAGGTGAACCAAAGAGGGACAAGGGGAGGTTGCTATCAGGGAAGTCAAAGGAGGATTAATCAAGAAGGTCCTGGAGAATCAGACTTAGGCTTCTGGACTTAGAGATGAGGCGACCACTGACGACTGAGGAGGGGATGATTGTAAAGGAGCGGTAGAGACCAAAGTCAGATTCCCAGGGGCTAAGATAGGTTTCGTGGGAGGAGTGGGGCGTGTCGAATGCTTGTTCAAGGGAGGGTCCCTTTAGTGGACTCTGTGTGGTCCCCTCCAAGAGCAAGGTGCATTTGAGCCTTTCTTGGTACTGGCCAGTGGAGGACCCACCTCTATTATGAATACTCAGGACTACCTGAATGCAATTTAGGAGGTAGGTATAGAAGAATCCAGCTTTGGATGATTGCTTTATAAAGCGGCATGAGCTTTGCAGATACAATTTTGTGATGGCTCATATCCATACACAACTAGACTGGAGTCATCTATTGCTGGGTCACAAATCACACCCACAACTGAGTGGCAGAAAATAACAATGATTTGTTACCCCATTACTTTTGTGGGTCAAGAATTCAGACAAGACACACTGGGGACAGCTTATCTCTGCCCCATGACGACTGGGGCCTCCTCAGCTAAAGACTCAAATACTGAGGAGCTAGAATCATCTGAAGGCTTAACTGGGGACTGGAGGATCTCCTTCCAGACATAGTCCATTCATGTGCCCGGCAAGTTCATGCTGGAAGTTTGTTCTTCCCTACATGGTCTCTCCACAGTGTTGGTTAAATGTCCTCACAATGTGGCAATTGTGAGCAATGCAATGGCCCAAGGTGGAAGCTGCAAATTTTGTTAGTGCTGTCACCTAGGAAGCCAAACACCATAAGGTCTTCAATATCCTACTGATGTCGTGGATCAGCCCTCTTCATTGTGGGAGACGACTATACAGGGTGTGAATACCAAGAGACAAGGATCATCAGGGGCCAACTTGGAGGTTTGCTGCTACAACTGACATGACAGAGGTCAGTTAAAGCCAGATCAAGGTAGTACCAACAGAGTGCTGAAGGGCAGGCAGCTGGCAGAGACCCAAGCCTAACTGATGGGGTCCAGTCCTGGCTATTCCAGCCAGGGAGTCTATAGATGGTGCTCCCTTGTCTATCAGATTTTTCATCAACCCAAATAAGCTTCCATAGGTGGAGAGATTATAGTTTCCTGAAAGGGAAGCATCAGCTGGGACCTTGAAAGCAAAGCCACACTAAGCCCCTTTGCTGGGCTGGACAAACTCTTTGCTTACTCCATGTCTATGGGATGCAGAGCTTCCGGAGGCACATTGTCTGTGGCTGCTAATGAATTCAGAGCTGAGCGGGAAGAGGTAGTGAAACTACAACAGGGCTTCAAACGGGATTCTCCACTGAGCAAAGCTAAAGAGAAATCTGCATGACATCGTGGATTTGGATGAAAATAGCCTCTCACCCTATGTAAACAGAAAGCTGTACATTCATATGTGTGCGGATATGCAACGCTATGCAGGAGCCCGCAGGAGTTTCCAATTTGGCACACTGTGGTTTAATGCCAGAGCATGTCCGCAGCTGTTCTACTGACCCACAGGACAACGGAGAGGCTCACATTTTTCCTTCTCATCACTCCTCCACCCCTGGTGGGAGCTTTCCTGCCATGTGGCCTTTCCGGATCAAATGATGTAGCTGGGGACAGCCGAGAAAGCTCACGCCTGAACACAAGGGCAGGGAAACCAGTGGACAAGATGTGAAAGGGCTTGGTAAACATGTGAGAGATACTGAGGTGCCAAAAGCACAGTGCAGAGCTGCCCCACTAGAGAAGTGTTGCCTAGAATGTGCTCTCTTCTCCTGGGACGTGGAGAGGGCAGGAGCCCCTTAAACAGGTGTGCCCTGTTCTCAAGGGAGCTCACTGCAGCTGAGACCTGCTGCGTCTGAACAGCTGCTTCTGCACGTGGTGACTAGGAAGAGATTCCCCCCAGGAAAACAAAGGCTTCTGTTTCTATTACACAATAATAGGCTCTGCTATTATTATAATTATTATAATAACCTCTGTTATTATTGTGCTGTGTGACCAGGGTAAGTCTCTACCCTTCCACGTGTAGTTTCTTCATCTCTGCATATAACAACCCACTTCTCTGGGGCTTGGACACACAGTTGTTAAGTGCAGGAGGAATGAGTCAACATCCACTGAACTCCAAAACACCATTAGCTGAAAGACTTACCAGGGACACTTTGGGCAATAGTGTTATTTTGCTCTCCAGTAATTCCTCTGGCTTCCTCCAGCGCTGTGGGGCATTGAGATAAGCCACTAGCTTGGAGGCTGGATGCCCAGACACCTGCTTGATCTGCCTTGCTGTGTGCCTAGAACACATCTCTCCCCAGGGGGACTGCCACTTTAAAATGAAGGACTTGACCAGTGGTCTCTGGAGAGTGCTGTCTACTCTATGGTCTTTCATGGCCTTAAGTCTAAAGGCTGGGGTGGCCACATGACGCATTGTGGCATGTGGAGCAGATGGACACCTGAGTTCTTGCCCAGCTCTTCAGGAGAGCTCAGAGATTAACCTATTCTGTTTTTTCATCTTGACTATGCAATAAATCACCTAGGGGAGCTTGTAAAAAATACCACCCCCCTGCTTCACCCAGACCAACTGAATAGGAATCTGAGGGTGAGACCCCTGCCTAGGTATTTTTTAAAAACCTCCCCCAGGTGATGCGAATGTGCATTCCAAGGCTGAAATCACTTAACCCTTCGTGGTTTACAGCTCTCAGCAGAGAGAGGCTCAGTCTCCACACTGACCCAAACACCCTCTTAGCTGGCAGCAGAGCTGGGACTGTACCTCGAAACTTGTGAACTCCAATCTTTGAAAAGTTCCTTGGGGCCAGCCCGGTGGCGCAGCAGTTAAGTGCACACGTTCCGCTTTGACTGCCTGGGGTTCGCCGGTTCGGATCCCAGGTGCGGATATGGCATTGCTTGCCAAGCCATGCTGTGGCAGGTATCCCACATATAAAGTAGAGGAAGATGGGCATGGATGTTAGCTCAGGGACAGTCTTCCTCAGCAAAAAAAAGGAGGATTGGCAGCAGATGTTAGCTCAGAGCTAATCTTCCTCAAAAAAAAAAAAAAGAAAAAGAAAAGTTCCTATAAGTGACTTATAGATATCTCTATATCTTCCCCATCTATGGAAACTCTTGGCTTTCCTCAATAAAAGTCATCCCTGTTCCTAATGAAAGCAAGAGAGGGACATCTCCACATGGGGAGGGAAGTTGGACCCCACACTGGCTTATTTTCTGAGAGTCCCTTTCCCCTTGGTGATCCCACTAATCACAGGCGCTGCTATCAAGCTGGACTGTGGACCCCTAGTTCCCACTAAATACAGCTTTACTACAAGTTGAGGAACAACTCATGGGAAGTAGCCACAGAAAGTCACATCCACCAAGAAAATCTGCTCCCACTTCAGCTCCCTTGTCCTCTGAGATGGATGCCTGGCGGTGGCCTCCCTGCCTACCCCCATGTGGCCAAGACCAGGTTCTTCCCCAGAGGACCAAGAAGTTCCATTAGGCTTGACGGCTGTCTGCAGAGTTCAGACCAAGGGAGAAAGGCCAGGAGTCTAAGGCCCATCTTCTAAGTTTGAGCTTCCCCTCCTGCTCATTGACACTTGGAAGGACTACACTCCCTCCCGCCCTCTGTCTCCCACAGCTGTCAGACCTCACCTGGCCCCCTCCTCCCGTTCAGGAAGTGCACTGAGAGTAAATAGCAGGGGGTTGTTCTGAGATCCTGCTTTATCTTTTCCCAGCTAAGAGACCCAAGACCCTGTCACAATAGAATGAATTGCTGGACCAATAGTCAGCAGATCTGGATTCAGGTTTTGAGTGTTTGATTTACTTGCTACAGGACCTTGGGGATGTATCTTAATTCCTCAGAGCTTTCGGCATCTCACCTTCAAAACACGGATCTAGAGTCCTGCCCTGCCTCCCTCTCAAGGTTGTGGCAAAGATCAGTCTCATTAACGTGTGTGCAAGATTCTTATAAGCTGGAAAGACTGCTTGAGTGAGGGCCTTTATTATGAAGGAATTAAGGGTTGGATGGGAGTACAAATACTCAATGGACGTGTTTTTCAGAGAATTAGAATATTTTGTCCAAACTACTTCAGAGTTGGAAAATAGCTTCAAGGGATCCTTGCGTGGGTCTACAGTGGCACGTCTCTAGTATTTATGGGCTCCCTGAGGGCATACAATGGGGCTTACAAGAGGGAGCCCTCACCATAGACCTTGTCCTCTCTTGAGTGGGAGAAGCTGTCCCAGAGCCAACACCTCCATAAGGAAGGCTACATGCACCTGGGCTGTCGCCAACCAAATGTGATGATCTTTGCTACTATCATTTATTGTGCCTGGTACATGAAAGATGCTCCTAAATATTTGTTGAATGAATTGTGATTCCAATATAAGGTAATGCCCATGCTAATCCCATACTCTTTTGAGATCTGCAACTCGTCAGGACAAAAGTAATAAATATTACTGAGGATTAAATTAATTGGGGGGGGGGCCAGAAATAACCAAAGAAACCTCTCCAATTATAGGATAATACATATATATTCATTGTAGCTAAGGAGTAGGTGTTACGGGTATGTATTATACATACGCAACAAAAAGAAATAAGAACACAATTCAATTTCATAAAACTTTTCTAGTGACTATGATTAATATGTGCCCAAAACCAGGCTGGGCGCTGCTGTTGGCAGGGTATAGAGAGAGGTCACCCACAGTGCTACAATTGAGGTGAGAGACTGGACGGTGACTGCGGGGGAACAGGAAGGATTTGAGGAAGAGGTGGCATTTGAGACAGGCAGAGAAGGGGAACTGCGAGAATAATCCAAGCAGGGGATCTTGTGACAAGTGGAAACGTTGGGGCCTATTATGATTCAGTCACAGCAGCTACTGCTTGTTGAGCATTTGCCATATGTAGGCTTTCCACACACGGTCTCATTTACTGATAACTCCATGAGCTAGGTATTTTTATTCCCACTCTACTTATGAAGAAACTGAAGTTCAGATTGTCACAAAGCAAGCAAATGGCACAAACAGGATTCAGACACTGGTTTGACTCCCCACCGGTCCTTGCTCTTACACAGTCCAGGATGAATGGAATTAAGCGCTCATAGAGCGATACAATGGGAGCAAAGATGGGACAAAGACAAAGCACGGAGCCTCTTGTTTATGGACCCTGAGGTGTCTTTATTTAACACAGAGGCTGTGGGAGATACAGGAGGTTTTAAGGAGGGGGAAGAATGCGATTAGAATTGTGCCTTGAGGTCACTTGCTGGCCATAGGGATCGCAGACTAGAGATCGGTTAGGAGGCTGTGGCCATGATCCAGGCTGGGGGCGTGAGGAGCACAGCTTGCCATCAAGTTTTGCTACTCAAAAGTGTGGTCCCTGGACCAGCAGCATCCTATCACCTTGAGCTTGTCAGAAACGCAGACTCTCGACCCCCACTCAGCCCTATTGAATCAGAATCTACATTCTAACAGGACACCCAGCTAGTTCTAATGCACATTGAAATGTGACCAGCATTGCCATAAGGGACAGGAGCACTGCTGGGGGGCCACTCCTCCTAGAGGTGCACTTCTTTTTTGGATGGCAGATCTCTTTGAGAATCAAAGGAAAGCTGAGGACCGTCTCTGTAGGAAACAGCGCAGATGCACACCAACATGAGCCTAGAACCGCAGGGGCTTCACAAAGCCCTGAGAGCATGAGGACCACTGCTGGCTCTGTAAGGAATCCCTGAATCTCACCTCATTAATCACTTAGTTGGGGAGCAGTGGTGAGGAGTTTATAGCCAAAACAATTCAAGTCTGAAGCCACGGGCTGTCATTTTAGAGACCTCTTCAGAGCCTGGACGAAGCTTAGGTCACCCCAGCCAGGGCCAAGACTCTGTTCCCATCCCCATCCCCCCGCGCCTGCATTGTTCTCCAAATCCCCTGGTGATCTGAGCAGATACCCTGGAGCAATGAAGTGGGGCCCACCCTGGCTTCCTTGAGCAGGACAGGGCCTGCCTGCCTGCTTTTCTTTAGTCTCAGAAAAGCCAAAATTAGCCTCACTTTTGTTTCTTTTCTCAGGAGCCTCTGCATTGTATCTCAGGAAAGGATTATTGTGCTCTGGGGACCCTATCTTATCGGGGGGCGGGGGAGGGGGGTGTGGGGGAGGTGATGAGTGAAAGGAAAATGGTCTTTGACAAATTGGTTCAATTCGGACAATCACGTGACTTCCCAGTAATTGCCCACCACTGCTTCAGTAAGGCTATTGTTTCAGCTCCCAAATATTTAGCCAAGTGGGCGGCCAGGGGAGGTTGGGGAGCGGTCAGAGGTTTGAGAACATGATAATGTGGGGAAAGGACTTTTTCTGGTGAACCTCTGGCGTTACGTTGGGAACGCTGATACCCAGCAGGCTCCGGGCGCGTGACTGGAGTTCTTTTTCACTCACTGAGTTCTTGCGGGGGTAAGGAGACACCTCAGGGGCACTGCCGGAATGCAGGGAGACGGGAGCGACTTCGGAGACGAGGGCTCTGGAGGCGGTAGCATGAGAACCCAGTTTGATTCAGCAATTACTGCCTCGTGGCTGGACAGGCTGCCTTGCTGACTCCTCCGGGGAGAGAGGGAAATATTCTTTTACCTCTCACAGTGAACACTGCTCAGAAAAGCAAAACCACGTGCCGTGAGCCAGGGGGCAAATGTGACTTGAGCTGTCTGCACTAAATGTTTCACACAAAGAATTCAAGGTGAGACCAGGCATTTGCCCTTAGAAAACTTGTCAAAAATTCCTGCATCTCCAGGGAGAGAGCGCTCCTGCTGAACCTCTCGGGCTTGCTCAGCCTGACATCCCGGGACATTTGGGAGATGAGGCTGGTGGCGGCAGCAGCACGTGAGAACGTGTGTTATCGAAGGGGAACACTTTTCCCCTGTGCTCATGCGGTCATCTATCTGATATGCCTGTGGGTGGAGGTGGGCAGAGAGCGGAAGGGAGTGTCCAGTCACCGGCGACAGAAAAGAGCCATGAGGTCATCGGAGCCTAAGGCTTTCCTCGCTGACCATGGGTAGCAATTGTCTTCCCAGCTTGCTTTCCCAGGGGCTCACCTCCGCTCCCACGGACGGTTCTGAGTGGGATTCCTGCTTGGGACATAAGTTTTCTTCCAACTGAAACTACGCCCTGAGGGCCAGATAGGGGATCTATTATTTGGCAAGAGATTTGAGATTTAACTTTGAGAACACTTTGTTTCCAGGTTCTGATGACAACTCCCTCACGTCTGATCCTACCCAAGATGTCACCCTCGCCTCACATAACTCCCTGCTCAGGAACCACTGTGTGGGCAGCCCTCACCCACTTTGCCCTTGCTCTCCCCATGAGTCCCTTCCCATTGCATCTCCCTAGGATTTGGGGTTCCTCCCCACTCCTCTACCCCAAGACCTACTGAATCAGCAAGACTTGAGAACCTGTGACAAGCAGACCACGCCAGGGATCTGCTGCACACTGAGTTTGGGAATCATTGAGCCAGCTGATCTCTAAGGACTGGTTTAGCTCCAATATTCTAGGATCAAGATGTTCTGAGGGATGGCAGGCTCCGGGGAAGAAGCACACGGCCTCCCACGTGCACAGATGAGTTTTAATAACCATCGGGTCTCAGGCTTTTTACTGCAGTGATTGTCTACCTGGGCTGCATATTAGAATCATCTGTGGGGTTTTTAAAACTCACACATAATATGGTTTCCAAGCAGAGATGAGATGTGTGGGTTTCTTCCCCCTCTTCTCTAAGAAGCAAAAAACCACCTTGGAATTGCCGGCAGTGGTTCCACCCAAAGGGTACGTGTTGGTACCAGGTGTTCTCTCTGGAAATCTCCCCAATGAGGTGCCACAGAGGAGAGCGAGCCTTCTGAACAAAGCGGGCTGTGGAGACCTCAGGACTGACCCTGGTAACTTCCTTTAAAAGAGTAGCCTCACTGTCTGGCAAAAGGGATGTACTCAGACCCTTTAGGCTCCAAGGATGGTCAAAGAAAAGCTGCGGACCCCAGGGTGCATCTCTGGGGTGAGAAGAGGAGAGTGGAGATTCTGGCTCCACCAGCTTGTGGGGCTGGAACTGAGTCTGAATCAGCATCCGGGGCCAGCCAGTGTCCTGGGAGGAGGCTGCGGAGGTGAACTGCTACATGAGGAGACCATGTCAGGGTCCCCTTGGCCAAGGTCAGCAAAGGGGGAGGTGGTGGTCCCTTCTCCAAGGGCCACAGCTGGGCATGAAAGGCTGCCGGGAGCATCTGGTGGGCACCAGCTGAGGATGAGGTAGGACCAGTGTCCAACAGTGACACCATGGGGCAGCGGGAAGTCACAGCAGAAGTAGTGATAATATTTCTTTGGTGTTATTTGCCCAGCATTGATCTAAGTGCCTTACACTTATTCATTCATTTAATAACAATTAATAGCAGTTCTGTCAGGGAGTCATTATCACCCCCATTGTACAGAGAAAGAAATCAAGGCAAGGAGGTTATACAGTTAGAGAGTTGCTGCCAGGCTGTGAACCAGGCAGTCTGGCTCCAGAGCCCACATCCTTAACCATTATGCACTGCTGCCTCAATAACAATAACCATAATTTACTGAGAACTTACTATGTCTATTATGTTCTCTGTGCTCTTTTAGTCTTCACCACAATCTGACGAGGTGGGAACTGGTTTTATTCCCATTTTGCAGATAAGAAAAGCGAGGCACAGGGAAGATAAGTAGTGGTCTGCTCATCGTCCATTCTCGCCCCTCTGGGAATGGAAGCCGGACTCATCCCAGCCAATCCCACAGCTGCTCCTTCACTTTTTGGAAGTTCTAAGCCTTTAGGGTTCCCAGAAAAGTGAAGCTAGTGGAAAGCTTCGTTACGGGATGCTGGGCTTCCTGCAACAGAACATGTGCACTCTTTAGTGAGGAACTGGAAAAACAAAGGCGGTACGACAATATTTCTACCTCCAAATTTGTGAGAGCAGATCATAACAATTTCAGGGGCCCCACCCCAGATTTGTGGAATCAGAATACGTGAAGGGTGAGGCCAGGAAATCGGAATTAAAACAGAGCCAAAAACAAACCACAGGTGATTCTGGAGCACAGCCAGCATTGAGAATTACTGCCTTGATTTCACAGTCGTATTTCCCTGCCCCCAATGAGCAGGCAACAGTGTTTCTAGGAACTGGTTCTAGTTTTCGAGTCCTCCTGCTTAGAAAGAAGCTGCGTGTGGGAGCTGACCAGAGGGAAGGAGCTGTTAAGGACCTGGGCAGAGAAGCAAAGCCCCAGGAGCCCAAGATTCATGCCCATGCGCTCTTTGTTCATGCCCTCCCCTGGCCTGCTGGACTTGGCAAATCATTATCTGTTCTTCAAAGGTAGGCTCAAACATCTTACTCTTAGTAAACACTTCCCCTGTTCAGCCTCCCCTCCTCCAGCCTTGTGCATCTCAAAGGACTGCCACTTGGGAGCCCACCGCTCAAACCTGGCTCAGAGCACTGCTCACCACATCCCTTCCCTGTGTTGTGCCCCTACCTTTCAGGACTGCCTGTTATTTACACCTTGCCCTTCTGCTCCCCTCACACCGGCCAAGCAAGGTGCCTGGGACATCATAACCTCTCAGAAAGTGCTAGCTGTTGAACGTAAGGGAGAGGAAGGAGGGAGGAAGAAAGATAGAGGGATAGGGAAGATGAAAAGGGCAAAAGGTAACACAGATGGAGAGTGGCCAGTGAAATCTGATTTAGTGTTGACCCCTTGAGCACATGTGACCTTTGCTCTGAGCCATGGGTACAGCCAGTCCAGGCACTCATCTGGTCGCCCTGGAACTATGCACACAGAGTACTGAGAGAGAGAGATGAGAACATTTATGGTTTCACCAGGAACCATTTCTTATTTCTGTTGATGCTTATAACAATCCTATGAGATAAGTAGGGTAGATCTGAATAATCTCGTCTTACAGGGGAGAAAACTCAGGCTCCGGAAGCTAATAAGCATGTCCAAGGTCACATGGCTGGTAAGCAGAGCATGGGTTAATCCAAATTCATTGCTAGACAGACAAAAATAGCTCCGATTCTTAAGGTTGGAAGGGCCCTGGCATATCATCTGATCCAACTCTCTGGTCAATGTGCATCTTCCCCACAACTTATTGGAGGAGAGGGGATGGAGCTGTGTTGGAATAACCCTAACAATGGGGAGCTCCCTGCAGCCACTGCAGCTTGGACAGGACCAAATGAAAGTTGTCCCTTACACTGAGTTAAAGTCTTTCTCTGTAGCACATAACCAGCAGCTCAATCCTCTCCTGAAGACCAGTGAAAGGCGTGTTCCCTTTCCACTCTGTCAGCTGTGCTCCACCGCTCTGAGACACCACGACCGACATCCTGGACTGAGGCAAGGCCCCCTTCCCCGGCCTCAGAGCGCTCCAGCAGAGGGCTGCCCGTGCTTGCTCAGCTGGCACACTGACTCACTCCCGACAGTGTAGGTGAGTCACCGCTTGCCTACGGGGATGTATTTCCCATTTGAGGTATATCAAAGGAGAACATCCTCTGCCACTCTCTACTTACGCAGGAGAATGTGGAGCATCTCAAGAGATCTCAATCCTGCCTCATAAGAAGTTCAAGGGCTTTACTCATACAACTCATGCTTCATAATAAAAATGTACACAAGGTCTAAAAGACAGACCTGGTGAGTTGGACCTAAAAAAAGTGGAAGCTACAGAACAAACAGCTTCCTGCATAGGATGTAATGATATACCTGAGAACTTGAGGGCCTTTAGGGGTTGGAAAGGCCTTTTCAAGTTTTGTTTTCAGTTTTTGCATTCCATCAATAAGGCAGGTAGGAGAAAAGTAAACTTTTTTTGTGAACAAGAATAACAGGAATCAGTCTCACAGCCAGAGAGGCATGGGATCAGGACCTGCCCCAGGCCGTCTGGGTCCGAGGTCAATAACTGAGTCTGGTGTGTGTGTGTCACTGGCCAGAGCAAGCCCTCTAGAGACTCCCCAGGTGGTGACAGCCCAGGCAGTCTCGTGCTTCAGCTCAGGCCTGCGTGCCGGCTGCTCCCCCTGGGATTGGCGGCAGCACTTCTGAGCCTGGCGTTTTATTGTGTATTATGTTATCTCAATAGGAAAAGGCAATTCAGGGGAAGAATTTCCTTGTCACAGTGCTCCAGGCTTTCCATTGTCCAGCTTTCTTAGCCCAGGTTCATCCCCTGGGTCTGACCATTACTCATATCCATGGAGGCGCCTTATCAGAGCTGTCTAAGATAGAGGGTCTATTTTTTTCTCAGTACCAGACGAACTGGAATCTGTCCACCCTTTGTGGCCTGACATCATCCCACAATTAGCCGGTTTGAATCCAGCCACACTGAGAAGATACTCGAAAAGCAGCCCCTCGTCGTCCAGTTGTCTCGTTCACAAAGCCCTGGGACTTCAGAGCCCTCTGGGGAGATCGAGAGCCATCTCACAGAGGAGCTGACTGTGAGGGTCTTTACTCCGGAGCTTTCTTCCCCAACTTGTTTCTCTGAAAAACTTCGAACCTACAGGAAAGTTGAGAGAATAATACAATGACCATGCCTCTACTAGTCACCTAGATTCACCAACTGCTCCCATTTCATCACATTTGCTTTATCTCTTTCCCTCCGCTTACATATCCACCTGAAAAATATATACTTTTTTCCTGTCGAACCATTTAAAATAAAAGTTGTCAAATCATGATGCTTCTGTGAAAATTAATCAATGGAAACCTCATTTAAAATGGAGTGGGGAGGGGCTGGCCCCATGGCCGAGTGGTTAAGTTCGCGCGCTCCGCTTCAGCAGACCCGGGTTTCACCAGTTCGGATCCTGGGCGCAGACATGGCACAGCTCATCAGGCCATGCTGAGGCGGCATCCCACATGCCACAACTAGAAGGACCCACGACTAAAATACACAACCATGTACCAGGGGGCTTTGGGGAGAAAAAGGAAAAATTAAAAAAATCTTAAAATGGAGTGGGGAGGCCAGAAGAGAGAAATCTCACGCACTTGCCACTCCATGCACACTACAGACCCAAAGAGGGGAGGCGGACCTTGCATCTCCCACAGGAGGTGATACTACTTATGACCCCAGCGGAAGGAAGGAAGGAATTCCTCCTCGTCCAGCGACAGCTCAGCCAATGAGAGACTTCCGTAACTCAGCCAATGAAAAGCCACCACACTTTCCCCAGTCTCCTCCAACGGACGCTTTACAACATACCCTCCCAACTTCATAAAAGAACTCTCCTTTCTTTCTTTGGACTTGCCTGCCATTTGGTTTGCCATAGATGGCATGTCCTGAATTGCAATTCTTTTCCCCAATAAACCCATTCTGCTGGTAAATAACTGGCTGTTTGTTTTAGGTCAACACTTCTAAACAGTTCAGCATGTATATCCTAAGAAACGGCATTCTCCTATACAAGCATAATGCTATTATCACTCTTAAGAAACGAAACAAAAATGTTAGCTAATATACTGTACATACAGTCTTGAGTTGCTTAGCGATGGAGACACGTTGTGAGAAATGCATCATTTGGTGATTTCATCGTTGTATAAATATCACAGAGCGTACTTACACAAACCTAGATGGAATAGCCTACTACACACCTAGGCTACATGCTGCTAATCTTTTTTTTTTCTTTTTGAGGAAGATTAGCCCTGAGCTAACTGCTGCCAATCCTCCTCTTTTTGCTGAGGAAGACTGGCCCTGAGCTAACATCCATGCCCATCTTCCTCTACTTTATATGTGGGACGCCTACCACAGCATGGCGTGCCAAGTGGTGCCATGTCTGCACCTGGGATCTGAACCGGCGAACCCTGGGCCGCCGAAGCAGAACTTGCGCACTCAACCGTTGTGCCACTGGGCCGGCCCCCATGCTGCTAATCTCATGGGACCAGCATTGTCTATGTGGTCTTTCACTGACTGAAACGTTGTCATGTGGCTCATGACTACATTCAAATCTCCTCAATTGTCCCAATAATCCCATACAGCTTCTCATCCCTCCCTTTAGAGTCCTTTACACTAGAACAGTTCTCTAGTCTTTTTGTTTTTTGTCTTTCATGACATTGACATTTTAAAAAATCCAAAGTAGTTACTTTGTAGAATGTCCCATAATTTGGATTTGTCTGCTTGTTTCCTCAAAATTAGATTCCAACTAAAATAGCTTGGCAAGAATATTTCATAGGTGATGATGTATCCTGCTCAAGATACTACCTCAGGAGGCACATGATGTTAATTTATCCCATTTTGGTGATGTGAATTTGATTATTTGACTAAAGTGATGTCTTCCAGATTTCACCATTGTAAAGAAACCCATTTCCATTTGTAATGAATAAAGTCATCTGTGGGGTGACACTTTGAGATCGCATGAATATCCTATTCCCAATAACCTTTCACCTAAAGCTTTTAGCAACCATTGAAGTCTTTGCCTGTCAATTATTATTATGGTGGATCACTTTTTCAGTTTGTTTTTATCTAATTTTAAAATATATACATCCTTATTATAGAAAGGGTGTAAAATACTGAAAAGTATAAAGGAAATATAATTTCTACATACACACAGAGAGCAAGATAAACATACAAGCACCAATACATGGTACAGTCGCTTATGAACGTCCCCTTGTCCAGTGTTTCTGTGGATTTTATTTGGGGGAGCATACATGTATTTATAACTTTCTTTAGTTTGTTTTGTCTAATTATATAATAGATATATACTAATTGAAAAAGTTTATAAAGCACCAAGTAGCATTAAAAAGCATAAAATTTATAAACAGATCCATGACAAATTTACTTATATATTTTCTTTTTCCTATGTCGCTTTTCTTATTCATACTAAGAACTCTAAAAAATTTCTGTTCTTTTAATTTTCTTTGAACAGCGACTTGGCTGTCCGATTTCCCCAGGGGCTCCCTCCTGCCTATTTTCTCTGCTTTGGGAGTAGTTTCTATCTGGCCTCCCACCACCTTTCTCTGGTCCTGGGGGATGTGACTGGCAATGAGCTGTCGCAACAGCAGCTGCTTGAGCCAAAGGGTTTCTCTTGGAATAAAAGGTGTTTATGCTGCAAATTTTAAGGGAAAGGGGATTTAGGCGGAGATAGTTTTTTAACTGGGGGATGTATTGAACTGCTTCCACAGTCAAGAAACCACTATTACAAGAATCCACGTAATCCCTTTACTACAGAAAGTCTTATACTGACTTATACGACTCTTCTGATCTTGTTAGTAAACAATGTTTTTAAAATAAAACAAATAAAACAAAACAATGTTTTTAAAATGATTGCTAATAGTGGCACACACTCTTGTGTTCTGCTTTTATTACTTAACATCTTCTTTTGTAGATTTTTTTTCTACCGTGTAAAGAGCTGGAATTCATGTTGTGAGAACGAGCAAGCCACTCAGGCACTGAACTAGATGATTTCAAGGTAATTTGGGTCTGGTCTTCAGTCTATGGTTCTATGGTCTTTTAGGTTGAATGGCAAAATATCATTTCTTCGTTAAAGTATAATGCTTACTCTTTGCCAACAGTGGGGTTTTGGAGCTTTATCACTTTTTTGCTATTCTAAATAGTTTTATGAGAATATTTCATACAAACAGATCAGTTTTAAAAGTAATTTCCTTAGGACAGTGTATCTCAAGAGCTGTCTGGGATCATCTGTAAGAGAACTACTTGGGGAGCCTGTTGAAGATTTCCAAGCCCTGCCCAGATCCAGGAAATCACTAGGGGTGGAGCCTAAGAGCCTGCATCTGAACAGCGATCGCACATGTCAGAGCTTTAGGATATACACGCATTCCACAAAGTGTGATTGCTAGTCAGAAGGAAAGGCCCATGGGACGGCTCTTTTCCCACGTGGCCAGGCCGTCCGTGGGAAAGATCGCGGCGACTCCAGTGTATGAGGGCCCTGGCTCCTGTTGTGAGTTTAGGAAATCCGTCCGACTTGCACTGGAGATGCTCCAAGCGCTGGGACACCTGCAGGAGCAGAGGCAAAAGGGTGAAGGGCAAGGTCAAGTCCAGAGCAGAGGAGTGGAACTTGCCGGGCTGTCGATGTGAGCCGGAGCGGGCTGGATGCAGAAGCTGGACCTGGAGCAGGAATGGTGGCTGGCGAAGGGGCCTGGTGTCCAGGATTCCACAGCGACCTGCACGGCGCGAAGACAGCTCTTAACACACAGATTTTGATACGCGAGTGGCCCTGTCCTAGCTGCTGTGTCTTATTAGCCTGTAATTATGGAAGCTGGAGATAATCTAGCTAAGAAAAAAAAATGTGTAATCTTAGAACCTTATAGCTGGAAAGCATATTTGAAATCAAACCGAATGGAGAACAAACAAAACGGTTAAAACTGATCGACCTCACCCAAAAAAAGAAGAGTAGTTGCCTGAGAAGCAGGATTGTTGGCGGCGGAGGGGAGGGGCAGGGCATTGTTGTTTTTCTTCATAAGCCTTTTGCTACAATCTGATTCCTTTTTAAAAACCGCGCACCTGCACTATCTTTATCTAAAAAAAAAAATTTTTTTAATGTATTTGGAAAACAAAGACGAGAATGATTTACAGCACACCAGAAAGGATGTCGAGCAGTCTCAAAAACGCTGGGAACAGTAGTTATCTTGTAATCACCCCCTGAAAGGGCCAGAGGCGTGACTGGACACCCGGGGCCGCCGTCGGCAGCTCGCCCGAACCCCGGTGGGGACTCCGGGATGCGGGAACCCTTGCGGCGGCGCCCGCGGGACTCGCGGGAGACCGCGGCTACTCTGTGCGCACGCGCAGAGCCCCGCATTTCCTCTCTTCCCGGAAGTCCTCGGGCGGTGATCTGAATGGACCGCGAGATGCTAGGGGTTCGCGCCTTCTCCCAGAAAAAGGTAGGCAGTAGGAGCCAGCATTCAGTTCTGACGGTGCCCACAGTGGCCCTGCTCCCGCCGCGTCGCTTGAGGAGACCACTTCGTGGATGAGCCCAGTGGAGGTGGCAGAGGGGGGCAAGCGCTGCAATCCCAGCCGCAGACCCTGCGGACCGGGAAGAAGAGCCGCCAGTCCCGGCCCCTGGGGGACGATTTCCAGCTGAGTTGCCGGGAGGCTATACTAGAGTTTTCCAAGCGACAGATTGACTGAGGCACTAGCAGCGGTCCTGGATGCGCGGTGCCTTGTTCAGCTTTCAGAGTTGGGAAAAGAAAAAGCAAATCAGATGTTCTCAAAATCATTTGATTTAGCACCATTCCTTGAACTTCTCTAAGGTTGCCCCTCTCACCTGGTGATGACCTTTGGGATAATACCAGACAGGCATGTGTAGGCTCAGTGAAGAGACCCAGGTCACCATCGCACCAAATCTTGGGTTCGTTCAAGGCAGAGCCACCTCTGCCAAAGCATCAACTTGAATGTCAGTAAAACATCATGTGAAGCCGAACAGAGTAGAGCAATGCCCGCCCGCATGGTTGGAAAATTTGGAGGGGGATGATCAAGAAGGGACAGAAAAAGAAGTGGAGAGAATCTTGGAAGTGTTGCGAAATTAGTCTTGAGACACTCCTAAGACATCTCTGTCCTTCTTTTCCTTAATTGGTACAGATTCTTTTTCTCTCACTGTGGAAATATTCAAATATCCCTCAGTATAAGAGTTGGTTTAGCAAGAATGAGGCTTGACCAAAATAAACTGCCAATAATAGAATCTCTCAATGAAGAAAGCGAATGAAATGACCAGAATCCCTGAGTTTGGAAACAAGGTTTTATAAATTTTTGGTTTTCAGTACTGGAAGGAATCTGCAAACTTTTAAAATGTCAAATGCTGTGATTTCTTCATGTTACAGCAAAGACTGGTTTCTTTGTAAAACGGAAATGTTACTTTAATGGATAGTAAAACCAAAACAGAAAGAAGTATATATTCTATAATGAAACTTATTTTCCAAGTAGATCTGAAATTTGTCTTAATATTTTAATGTCTGTATCTTGAGAATTTATAAAGATGTCAGTCTTCTGTGGGAAACAAAAGTTCTCTGGCATTTTCATAAAAGGGCAAAAAATGAAAGAAATCTGGCCTTTGATTTTTACAGATGAGGAAACCATGACCAGAAAGGGAAATGACTTGACAAGGCTCACCATGAATCAGACCTGGGAACTGGAACCCAGCCATGCTCCTTGGCCCAGTGCCTCTCCTCATTGTGTGGGAGCTCATACCCCATTGTAGCAAACATGATGTGAGCGTGGCATCAGATGATGCTCATAAATGTCTTCATCTACTGAAGTACTGGTGGGGGATAAGGGGATTGGTTCTTCAGGATCTAGACAGGATTTTAAGAAAATCTTGGTGATAAGAGCTCTACTAAATCATAAAGACTTCTTTGGGAGATAAAATGGGTGAAATCCTTTTTTTTCAGAGGAGCTTAAGTAGGGGCTGGATAATCACTTATTAGGGTTGTCAAGGGTATTCAGACCTCTGTAGTCCCTTCCATCTGTGGGTCTGATTCTTGGGTTACCCACCAGCTTTCAGGGCATATGTGGCCAGGAAGTATAGGGAAGGAAGAAACTCATCCCTCTTCAACTCTACTTTGAGTCAGGTATCGTGTTGAGCATTTCATATGTGTTAATTCACTTAGTCTTCACAACAAGCTCTCTAGGTAGGTGTTACTCTCCGTCTACCTCAGGAGTTCACAAAGGTTAAGTAACATGTTCCAAGCCATGCAGATAATAGGCAGCACAGCTGAGACTGTATTACAGCATCTCTCATCCCCAGATGAGTGGGCAGGAGAGGATGCTTACACAGACTGCTCCTCAGCTTCTCTGCAGTGTGGGTAACCCCTCGCACCGCTCAGTGAGTCTTCAGGGCAAGTAACTCCTATTATCCTCCCATTCTGACTAACAACTGGGGATGAAGCTGCATTGGAGGCCCAGGTCAGGGACACTCCTACTAGGAGAAAGGCATTTTGCTTGGCACCTCTTCACAAAGGCTCCAGAGTTGCCGAATCCACTTCCAGTCCCAATGAGAATCTGCCTTTGCATCACAGGCAGTTCTCACTGAACAATGAGGTCAAACTCTGCTTCCAAAATTCTCAGTTTAATGGTTCACCCTGGGTGACAAGCTTGGACCATGATAGGAAGTATCATAATAGGAACTGCTTTGTGAAGAAAGAGGCTGGAACAATGAGATCTAGGAAGACAGTCAACATCTGGAGCTCAAGTAGTTTGTGCTGCTCAAAGCCAATAAAATCATTTGATGTTCTTGGGTGAATGGCCATTTCCAGTAGGATCCAACCAATTTCTGATGTCCCAGGGAGCATGAGCCAGCCTGTCCCTGAGAGAGAGAGGCTGTGCTAAAGGCAAGCTCCAGAGATGTCATGCTGTTACCATGCCTTCTGCCTTTCTAAAGATGAGCCTGTCTCCTGCCCTGCTGTTGTCACTCAGATTAAACATGTTCCCCATGTTCATTCTATATCCATGACTGTACACTTCTGCTTCCTGAAAAGTTGTGGCCATAGGGATGTAAAACTCACCCATCAGCTGTGGCCTACCTGAGGCATGTCAGTCACCTTCCTACTCTGGTATCTCCCAATGGCAACCAATTAGCCACAGAATTAAGTGCCAACTCCTTAGCCTCCACAGTCTGGTTCCTTTCCAGCCTCTTCACCCACCCCCTACAGTGCATACTGTGCCACCTATTCTGGCCACATCGGATTCCTCCTTCCTTGACTAGATTCCACCCTTCTCTACTTCCAGTCCTCTGTGTGGCTTCATCTGCTTGAAGGCTCTCCCCCGCGCCCCCCAACTCAAATCTTCATCTTCCCTCAAAGTACAGATTCAGTGGTTAGGATCATAAAGCAAACCTGACTTTAGCAAACTGCATTGTAAGACAACCATGGTCCAAAACAGTTGGATAATTGCGGTGGCTTTAAGTTCGCATCTAGCTCAGAGGTCACCCAGGGGATTAGGATCTCCACAGAGACCTACAGAACCAACCTGCTTCCTAGAGCCACCCCCTTGTTCATGCTGCTGGGACGAGCACTACCCCTTAGGAGAAACTGGGCAGCTGCAGCTGAGTCACACAGGCTGCCAAGGGTCAGCCAGGAGCAGAGCTGTGTTCCTTGGCATTTCTCCCAGTTCCCCTCGTGGTAGACTTCTGTGGCTGTGCCGGGATTCAGACGTATCGCTGTGTTCCACAGTGAGCTACTTCAATTCACTCCATCAGGATTTATTCCCTTCAGTGTTCCTCCCGCCTTAGCCCCATTGCCTCCACCCTTCCCCTCACCTGTGATCACAGTACCAAAATAATCCTACAGTGGGATTGCTGTGCTGGGATTGAACGCCTTGGCCATGCCTCTACCCTCTGCATGCCCTCAGTCACCTGCTGAAGCATAGAGTGCCTCTCACCTGCAGACCCCGTCCCAGCACACACCTCGCCCGGTTGGAGCAAGTCCTGGAACCTAGAGCAGTTTGCCCTGCTTGTTCTTGCAATGCCGGTGATCTCACAAACATGTGGTTGACCAAGCAGTCCTAACTTCCAGCAGAAAACTCAAGTAGGTGACCGGAGGGCAGGAGCCAGGTCCCATCAGTATCTGTGACTGTGTCCCAGACCCCCAGCACGTGGGCCCATCCCTCTCTTCTCCAGACTCAGCTGGGTCTTGCAGAATGGGGCTCTGCCGGGATCCAAACACATTAACTGTTAGAGAAACTCCTTCCTGACACCCGGCAGATATTCAGAGTATCGCTGAATCTAAAAGGAAAGGGAAAGGAGGGTCCAGTGTCCTTTAGATGAAGGTTTTTATCTCAAAGCAAGAGTGGTGTGTGAGCTTCTAATCTTCAGAACAAACTCTGGGCTTGTCCAGGTCTGTCCACAGGTCCCAGAGTCTTAGCTCCCTTCTGAGCCATAGCTCAGACCAGCCAGGCTCAGTGACAGTTCCTGGTTCCTCACTTTTATAGGCGGCCTTGGCAGAAGCTTACATTCCTGCCATGGGTGTCACTGCATGTTGATCAGTTGTCTTGCTCAGTTCCTGACAAACACTAGACCTTGGGTTCTGAGCTGATGTGCTGGCTCCAGAAAGTGTTACTCGTCGGAGGTCAAGTCCACTGGCCTCGCAGAGCAGCTGTGCACCTGGGATCTGAGCATCTCTACGTTGTCTTTGTTCCCTTCAAGGTTTACATCTTCAGGGTCCCACTGTGGAGAAAAGACAGAAAAGGTACTCTGGTGGAACAGACCCGTCCCATCTCTTACAATCCCCCCAGCAACAGCTCCAATCCTGGTTCTCATGGCCCAGACACAGACAAGGACAAACAAGTAGGGACAGGTTAAGCAGGCCTGTGTTTCTAGGACCTAACAGGGCAAGGATAACTTTAAATCAAGGAATTAATGGACAGCCACCCTGAGCAGACCAGCTCCGCTTCCCTTCCCATCCTCTTTTTCCCTGTCTTCACCAAGACTGAGTTGTGTTCCCTTTATCCTGAGAACTCCCACCGCCATGCCTAACTTATTCCTGGAAAAGACCAGGGAAACTCAACCTATTCTTTATGGCTCAGGTAAGTACCTCCTCCTCCAGGAAGCCCATCCTGACTGCTTACATTGAGCTCTCACTCTCTTTGTACTGCCTGTATCACTTGTTTGCAGCTGAGCGTGGACAGCCCTGCCCTTTCTCTGGGCATCCGCCTTGTCCCCTCAGGTGGATGATGAGCTCCGTAAGAGCAGGGCATCCGTCTGCCCTTGTCCCCCACATGGAGTTTCCTCTAAACTTGAGGTCAGTAGAGCTGTCAAACACAAACACTAAAAACCTAATTCAGAGCAGTGGTCACTGCCAGTGGCTATTTCATTGCTCTGATTCAGGAAGTATGGGAAATTGAAATTTGCAGGGGTAGGAGGAAAAGCTTAAACGAAGTGGGCACAAAGCATTGACGGAGCTGTTTACAAAGTCCTCCTATTGTTGTAATCTGATGGAGGAGAGAGAGAACTTCGCACACGCGCCAAGAGCAAGGGAATCCTTAGTGATGCCAGCACGGAGGCAAGGAGGGGTTGGGCTCAAGCTCTCCTTCTGCCACTGACTTGCATTCTCTTCTCTGGGCCTCAGTTTCTCCATGTGTAAGTTGGGATGTTGGATCAGCAACTAGATAATTCGATCTCTTTCATCTCTGAATTTTTCTGACTGATGATTCTGAGACATAGAGTCATATCTGACAGTATCACAACACCCAGGAAAGAAGTAAAGTCCACATAGGATGTGTCAGCCCAGGCCAGGCAATCTATTTGGGCAAGAAAATAAAGCCAGGCATGGATATGCACTCCAAGAAAAACACTCCACCAGCTGCTCAAACTTGAGCTGAGTCACACAGTCCGGTCCTTAGACGTCCGGGATAAGATTTTCAAGGCTCCCTGAGCCACTGACAGATAAAGCCCATGCCGTGCCAGTTATAAAACACAAGTTGCGGCTTTGTTTTGAACAGAAAGAAAGAGCGCAGTTCAAATTAGTGATTTACTGATAACCACTGAACCGAGTTCTCCTATTTGGTAACTAAAAACGGCATCATGTTGAAAAGACGATCTCATCCCCAGTCACCCTGCAGGCCAGCAACTGAGCTGATTTGGTTGGTGCAGCTCAGCCCCCGGTACCTGTCGGGGGCTGTGCCAGCCACTTCCAGTGCTAACTTCTCATTTACCTTGCAGACTTGCGGGGACACCTCTAAGCAAATTCCTTCCTGACATTATCAAAGATCCCACATAAAACGCCCCCCCTGGCCCTCAGCCTCTGTGGCCAGTTGCCCAGTGGTGGAAGTGGGGGCCTGTTCCATTCTCTGAGGATGGACAGTGATGAATGCTGTTTTCAAGCTGAGGCCCATGTTCTAGATCATACTTCTGATCACCAGAGGGCCCAGGGTGCTCACTGAAAAGGCTGATGCCAGGGACCCACCCTGGAGCCTATATGTGAGCTGGGACCTGAGGTTTGGCATATTAACATTCTCCTAGGGCGATCTTAGCCACCCGGATGTTTCAGAACCACTGCTCCAGCTCCTGAAATGGCTTCTTAAGAGTTACTCTTGCGCCTCCTGACCGGTTCAGCTGCCGGGAAACAGAAGCAACCCGCCACTTTGATCAGGCGCACGCTTTGAAGTGGGTTAAGGCTTCGAAAACATTTTAAACCTCCTCCTTCTGAAAACCCAGAAATGTGTTTTAAACTTCATTTTAAGTAATAAAAACATTGCTGGAATCCAGGTATAAAGAGAATTTGAGCAAAAGACGATCTACTCTCTTACCAAAAAAAAAAAAAAAAAATCCCAGGAGACAACAGGTGCGCGGTAGTTGTCATAAAACACGTGCTCATCTGCCGGGTCTCAGAATGACAATGTGGGGGATTATCTCCGTTACTGCAGCCACTCCCAGTGCCACTCCCCTTAGTGACCTGCAGTTACTCCCCTGGTCCACCGACCTCTGCTCCAAACCACACATCTTCCTTAGGTTACGCATTTTCTCTGAGTCACTACTAGATGGTCTGGACAAAGCAGAAAGAACTGTGCACTGAGAGGGCCCCGAAAATACCCTGCTCCTCAGACTCGCCTCTCGTTTTCACATTCTTTTTCTCCCTAAAGAAATTTGGCATGGGCCCAGTCATCCAAGGGGGGCTCACACAAACAGGAACTGAAATCAGCCACAGGAAGTGCCTTCTGGAAGAGAGAGAGAGCATGACTGTCCATACGCGCTCCGACTTTAGGGCTTCCCAATACTTCTGCTGCAGAATAAAAAGAGAGAGAGAAAAAACGTGTTGGATAGACTTTGCCACCATCACAGAGCAGGGCAGAGCTCAGCGCCAGCCGCCGTCTGCTCCGTGAGCCAGGAGGCAGGCCCTCCGATGGTCTGGGCAGAGGAACAGCTGACTTCAGCAGGCAGAAAGGCAGCAGCTTCTAGCAGCTACAATTTAGATAGGATAATTGTGATAATTATAAAGGGCTCGAGGTCCTTGAAAAAATTATAATTTATACATATTTTAAGATTACTATTATTAGAAATTATTATCATGAGGCATAATAAGAATAATAATAAATCATCTTCCATTTACTAACCACATGGTTGGGATGAGTCAACTCAAACCCATAAAACTAAGAAAGAGAGATGCAAATAAAATCCCCACCTTGAAACTATGGGGTATTTGCTACCTGCCAAGATTCGTTTTTAATCAGCCTTGACTGCACGGTTGGTTCTGCCCCGAGCCTCACAGATACCTGACTCAGGTTCTCGAAGGGCGGCATCGCCGTCCGCACTCTCCTCCAGCAGCTCGTGCAGTGCCTGGGAGACCTGTGGGGTTTTTTGGCTTTTTTTTTAAAGATTGGCACCTGAGCTAACTTCTGTTGCCAATCTTTTTTCTTCTTCTTCTTCTTCTTCTCCCCAAAGCACCCCCGGTACACAGTTATACATTCTAGTTGCAGGTCCTTCTAGTTGTGCGAGACCTGTGTTTCTGACCCAGAGCTATGAACCTACAAATGTCTGTTATATTGATCTGTGAATGTCCGTTAAATTGAATAGCTGCCAATCCGAACGGTCCGCTGGATTTGGCATTGTCCATTAAAACAAAGCCTCTACTGTCTTTTAAATTTTCATTTTGAAAAATTTTTTAACTATAAGATTTTCCATCATATGCAAAGTAAAAGAATAATCTAATGGACACATCCTGTTTTATTTGCTCTAGCTCCCCAATTATTTTGTTTGCTGAAGTATTTTAAGGTACTTTCGTCTGTAAATACTTCAGTATGTATGTCATGGTTGGGGACATTTTCTTTAATCCTAGGCACAATAACATTATTATACCTAACAAAATTAGTGATAATTCCATAGTATTCATCTTTTAATGACATCCTGCTGGAAGGAACATAAACTGAAAGAAAAAAAAAGATTAATGGAGAAGACACAAAATTACTAAAAATGATGGTTCCGTACATACTGCAAAAGACAGAAATGTGGGCCGGCCCTGGGGCCAAGTGGTTAAGTTGGCGCACTGTGCTTCGGCGGCCCAGGGTTTCAAGGGTTTGGATCCTGGGCGCGGACATGGCACGGCTCATCAAGCCATGCTGAGGCTGCGTCCCACATGCCACAACTAGAAGGACCCACAACTAAAATATACAACTATCTACTGGGGGGATTTGGAGAGAAAAAGAAGAAGAGAAAAAAGAAGATTGGCAACAGATGTTAGCTCAAGAGCCAATCTTTAAAAAAAAAAAGAAATGTTGACGACACAGGGGTTCAAAAAGCTAAATAACTTTTACAAATGTAATGGAAATACAAAGAGAAATGAAAGAAAAATTGCTAACCTTCACCTTTCTTTAGAAAATACAAATGTTCATGTAAAATAGAAACAGTAATCTGTGGTTACCACAATGAGTGGCTGTTCTGTTTGTTTGTTAAAAAAATCACTCAGTGCAATGTGATACAGTGGATTGTATCCTGGAACAGAATAAGAACATTAATGGAAAAATCGGTGAAATCCAAATAAAATCTGTAGTTTAAGTAATAATAATGTACTAATGTTAATTGCTCAGTTTTGACAAATGGAGCATGGCTGTGTAAGATGTTAACATTAGGGGAACCTGAAAGAAGGTACACAGGAACTCTCTGTACTACCTTTGCAACTTTTCTAGAAATCTAAAAGTATTCCAAAATAAAAAAGTTTATTTAAAGCCAAGCAAACAAAAAGCTTAAGAGTCCCCCAACTGGCTTGCAATGAAAGCTTGAGCCTTCCTTTCCCTATCTTCAGCATCGCAGGCCGTCTACGATTTAAGAAGAGTGCCCTCATGTGGGGGCCAGGAGTCAGGGCTCCTTTTGTAAGTTAGTTTTTAAACCCATGATGACAATGTGCCCAAGGGGTACAAATAACCCAAATCTTTGTAACAGAGGTCTCTCCTCACTCCCCTGAAAAGTAAAAACGAATAACATTTTATAGTGTCTTCCTCAATTCAAGAGCAAAATGTGTTCATTTTTGTATAGAAATTTCCTTTCCAAAAGCAAAATAAAGATCGCCCATAATCCTATCCCCAAAAGACAGCCTCTACGAAGTTATTGAATAGCCCTGTGAAACACACACGCACACAAATCAAATCGTGCAAATGACTTTTCTCCCTTAACACATAACGAGCATTTCACATATCCTTAAATGGTTTCTGGGAACACAATTCCAGCACCTCTGTGACCCACAGCATGTAGTATTTCAATTCACCTCATTTCTAAATGCACACTCTTTCATGCTTCTGAAATCAAGAAGCATCCTGTAGCCCCTGTCCACAGGGCCCACGGTGACTTTTCCTTTGTTCCTGAAGACTCTGAGGTGTGTCTTAGCCATTGAGGAAACAAGGTCACACTCCAGGCTTCTCTTTTAGACTATGGGAGCTGGGCCGGCCCTCAGAGACCGCATGTCCAACTCCCTCCTCTTACATTTGCGGAGAAGTGACTCCCCCAAGACTGGGGAGGTGAGACGGTGCTGGACTCAGGACCGATGATAAGGCTTTTTTCTCTTCTAATTATAAAGTTTAAGACTGGCCAGATACACACCAGCTACAATTCTCTCCTAGATTTCATTAAGTAGAGTTTCCTTTGACCTGGTACCTTCCAGACTTTAAGAAATTACACCAGATGCTGCAACATTTCATCTTTTCTATCTCCTTGGTTAATTAAGCCGTTCTAAGGCACTTACTCTGGGTCAAGCACGGTTTCACCTCCCCACGCTTTCTTTCCTCCTCTCTAATTGCCCAAACTCACCAGGCTGCACCTCCTCCCTGGGCTGCTGTGGGGACAAGGGCTGTGAGGTGGGAAAGGCTTCACAGGCCGGGAAGTGCTGTATGCAAGAAAGAGCAGGGCTTCTGCAGCAAAATGTTCCCCACCTTCTCGGTCACCCTGGGTGGTTTAACTACTCAAACCTTCCTCCGCTCAGTTCTGAACAGGCCCATCGTGAACGGGAGCAGGGAGAGAAGAATTCGGACCCACAGCGGGTGCGTTTCCTTTACAAAGATGACACACAGCTTCACTTCAGGCACATCCCAAGGTTGGAAAGAAAGGGCTGAGGCGGAGAAGCTGTGTGCATTAAAACGGTGGGCAGCAGGGGGTGGGAGCGAGACCCTCTGAACTCCAGGCACAGGAGATACAAACTGTGTTTAGACCAGATCCCAGTGGGAAAGGCCTTGGCAACCTTGGCTCCTGTTCCTGACTTTCTTTCTTTGTATGTGAGGAAGATTGGCCCTGCACTAACGTCCATTGCCAATCTTCCTCTTTTTGCTTGAGGAAGATTGGCCCTGAGCTAACATCTGTGCCAGTCTTCCTCTATTTTATGTGGGATGCCGCCACAGCGCCATAGCAGTGCTAGGTCCATGCCCGGGATCAAAACCCGCGAATCCCAGGCCGCAGAAGTGGAGTGCGTGAACTCAACCGCTACGCCACTGGGCGGCCCCTATGTTTCTAGCTTTTCTTTTAATCATTTTTCCCCCCAGTCTGATTGAGATATAACTGACATATAACATTATATATTCCTGATATTTGGGAAGAAATTTCGCTGTTCAAATGCTGCTCTGAAGAACTGAAGAAGAGGCCTAGGGAAGGACGGGAAACGAGTGCAGTCAAGTTTGATTCGGGAGCTGGGCTGCCAGATAAAACACGGGACTCCCAGTGAAACCTGAATTTCAGATAACAAGGTTTTAGCAGAGGTATGCTTATCTGAAATCCACATTTCACTGGACATCCTGTATTTTTGTCTGCTAAATCTAGCAACCTACTCAGCAGTGTAAGAAGGCTTCCTGGAGGAAGCAGAATTTAGCCAGGGCCTTGAAGGGCAGAAGGAGAAGACCAAGAGAAACCAAGGAATCCAGAGAAGGGAAAGCTGGCTGGATGCACAAAGAGGAACCTGGAGAGTTGACCCAGGGCCAGATGGTGAAGTGTCCTGGAGGTCAGGCTAAAGGGTCTGGACTTAAGCTATCAGCAGGAAGGAGCCACAGATGGCCTTAGAGCAGTGAGGCTGTGGGTTGGGCGAGTGCTGGGGAGATCTTGGGTAGCACAGCAAAGAAAGGAGGAGAGATGGGGGCAGGAGCTAGTCGGAAGCGCCTGCACTGGTCCAGGTGGAAGCAATCAGGCTCTCTCCTGGATTTAGGGGCCAGAGGAGGTTTTCTGAGAGTAGCATCCAAGCAGACACAACAGCCCAAGCTCCCGTGCCCTTGAGGTACATTAACACGTTGTGCTGGTGGCTGATGCTTTTGTTTTCCTGATGGAAGCCTTTCTGCTTATAAGAACCGGATCCGTGTGACTAACCACCACCCACCTCCTCCAGCGCTGCACTTTGACACTTAGGGTCGAGTTCCTAAGTGAGACCTTAAAGATGGCCCAGTCCACAGCTGGGGTTTCACAATGAGCAATTGTGGGAACAGTGGTCTGCTGCGGTAGAAGCTCCTTCACATTTCGACCTCGTAAGAGCCTCACCACCCTCCCTGAGGTCACCATCTCCACTTTCGGAGCAGGTGCAGAGAAATGAATGGGCGCTGCCGGTTCCGTGGCTATAGGGGCCACAGTGAGTATCTGAGCCCACTTCCGGCCCGTTTCCGCTAGGCTGCGTGTGGCCTGTTTAGTAGTCTTGCAAAGCCACAACGGCACCCCTACTGCAGCCATACAATCATTCTGTGATATAGGTAGGACGTGTCTCATGATTCCCACTCACAGAGGGAGAAACTAAAACCCAGGAAGTCTGGGGCAGGCCAAGGCCACCTGGCCAGTCAGCAAGCCCAGACAAGCCCCTGTGTCTGTCCCGCTCCTGGTCAGCGCTTTCCCCTGCACAGCCCCTTTCCGTCTGAGGGCCCAGTGCAGCTTCCTTCCTCAGCCCCACGTGACCAGCTGACTGCCCCACACATTTGGGGAAGTATTGTCTCTCACTGTCTCATGACAGGTGGTTCCACCTCTCCAGGGAGGAAACGGGTCTGGGGAGGGCAGACATCGTGTCCTGGACTTGACTTCTGGCCTTTGGTACCTACTGCAATGTTCTGGCCTCCTTCTTCAAACTTACATGTATTTTCTTCTGAAATTAGAACTTTCATAGTCTCTTTCTCTCTCTATGAATATATATAAGTCTTTTTTTTTCTTAAAAGAAGGATTTGGCTGTAAAAATGGCAAACATCCGAGGGAATCTGTCCTGTCTGCTGGTGTTGGAAGCAGGGTTTGGAGAGGGAACAAGCAGTCTTGGTTGTCAAGAGCCTGAGGCAGAGAATTAGCAGGGACACACGGGCTGGGACTTGACCCTCTTCAGACTCAGCAATCTGGGGTTTGGCTCTGTTCCTACCCTCCACACACGTACACACACGTACACACACGTACACACACGTACACACACACACAACTGCACCAGCTCTGGTCACAGTCATTCTCCAACATGCAGGCTTTGTTCCAACGACAGAAACAGCCTCCTTGCAGAATTCCCACAAAGCTTCTTATAACAGGTCTACGGCATTGTTAGCACAGAAGAAAAAAATGACTAAACACTCTTTCATCACAAAGCTGGACTCAATCTTTGCTTGTATCCCAGAGGCTAAACCAACAAACAAAAAAGGGCCTTTAAAAGGCACAGGAACAGTTTCAACGCTGGGGGAAAGTCAACCCAGTGCTTATAAGACAGGCGCTGGCTGCCCCGAAAGTGAGAAGGGCACTTTCCGGGGTGCTCTGCTCCTTCTGGGCCTGGGCCCCCACCCAGATGACGAACACAGGAACCTTCCTCCACTTCTGCTCAGTGCGCCCTCTGGAGGCTTGAGCCAGGAGTGGGGCTGCGGGGGTTGAATGGGCGAGTGAGTGAATGAACGAGTGGATCCAGTCTCTGAGAGTGTGCCACCTCGTGTAGAGATGTCTGGAGATCCACACAGCCCAAGCAAATGTCCTCTCTCCAGGGTCATGGGTCACACTGAGGCTCCGACATCACTCGTCGGGTGCCCTGATCAGCCCAGCCAGTGGACGCTTGAGGAAAGCTGGAAATAATCCAAGTTCTCCCTCCGTGCGAGCCCCCACGGCCTTATCTGTCTCTGTCCCACCCTTCTGCTGTTCTGCCATCATTGGAATGACTTGCAAATTCCAATGTTTTATCCTGTTAGACCAGGTGCTCTCCGAGAACCCAGGCAGAGCACAGGTGAGTGGAAAGACCCCTGGAGAGAGAGTTAGTTTTCTCATCGGTAAAGCGGGAGTGATGGATAATAAGCGTGGTCCTGCACACCTTCCCGGGGAAGAGTGCCTGCCGAGGCAGTGGGGGGTAACCACGGGGCTTTCAGAGCCAGTGGAGCTGTGTCCACATCCCAGGTCAGCCACCTATTCTTAATAATGTTTTCTTGGGCAAGTTACCTAAACTCACTGACTCTCAGTCCCCTCTTCTGGAAAACAAGAATAACCAAGGTGCCTGCCTCAGGGCTGTCGAGAGGATTCAATGAACAGTGCTGGTAAAGCATAGAACATATGGTGCCTGGCCCATGGCACGCACACAGTCACTGTTAGCAATGAGTCCTGTGATTCTTATTAAGGGATTTAAAAACACTCCGTGAGCTAGAGTGCCGTGGATGCAGCGCACGGTTGGGGCACCTCCCCCAGCACTGCAGGAAGCAGGTGTTCAAAACAGTTGGTACGTGTCCCCAAGACACGGACATAAAACCGCCATCTGAGAGTTAAGTTACAGAGTCATAAAGGACCACAGAAGACATGAACACATCACCTTAACGACACAGAGTGGCTCCCAGGCTCCCAGGCCTGCACAGCGGGAGCTGGAAAGCATTCTCTTCTGGACCCAAGGGGTCAAGCAGAAGCAGAGGTGGTCAGCAACAGACAGGGACAACACGAGGTGGCTGAGGGCACAGAAGCCCACCTCAGGGAGTCCAAGGGGGACAGTGGGGGTGGGGCAGCCCCAGAGTGGGGACAGATGCCCCAGGTATCTCATTCCAATGCCAAGAAATATTTAAACTGTGCAACCTGGGAGCAAGAGAAGGCACAGACCAGAGGAGGTGACGCCCCAGGGCCCAGCCTCCAGCCATATGCTCTGGTCCCTTGGGCGTGTGGTCCGGAGGAGTGAGGCGAGGAGCAGACTCTCGACTGTGACCAATTTAACAAGTGTTGTCCACCTTGTGAGGTGGGTTCAGCCCAGCCCATCTGTCCTCCTGCATCCTTCTTTTAAATTCCCACCCTCAGAAAACGTTTGCTGAACGAGTGACCGCACGGGCCTGTGAAGCGAGGAGTGACACTCATCGGCTAAAAGACACCTTCTCGCTCACCTTCAGCCACAAAGGAACCAGGACCTTTCAGGAATATTGCTCCAAAAAACAGGCTAGGCTGTCAAGCCTGCAGAAGCCAGTCCTTGGGAGGCAGCTGCTGGTTGGTGGCCTTGTGGGTTAATTTTAATTTTCTTCTTGACATTTTCCAAATTTTCCATAATAAACAGGTGTTACTTTTAAGAACAGAAAATACAGGTTCGCAGAAGGCCCAACGGACCACACACCTGACAAAAGCTTTGCTGTCTGCTGTTCACACATTAAACAGTCTGTATGGGACCTGTGCCACCCCGTTGACCTGCCAGTGTATGTGTTTGGTGAAATCCTAAGGCGATGTCCCTCCAGGCCGCGGTGGCCCTGTCATTTGGAGTAGTGTGTATGTTTCAGGGAGTGCAGCTGGAGGACTGTCCTGGGGAGAGGTCTAGGGGTGAGCTGGGGCAGCTGCTTCTGAAAATATATTCCTTTTAACATGGGCAAAAGCCTTCATCTCCATTTGCCTAATTTAAGAGTGTGACCCTGTCCCCTTGGAATTTATATATGTAGTTTTAAAAAATGTCTAAAACGAGAGAGACAATAGAAGAGGGGAATTCAACAGGGGGAGAGCAGGAACTACAAAACACGGAAATGGCCCAAACCAGCCACAAAAATAAATTTCCGAATTTTTCAAGGTCACTGTCCAATCCTTACCTCAACTGAGGGTGGGTGACAACAGTCGGCCTTGTTTCCACAGAGCTCTCCTGGGCCCTCCCTGACTCACCGACTTAACTGACCCCTCTCCTCAGTGAACACTTTGCTGTCAGGCTCATTCTATCCCCTCCCGCCTTAGAGCTCTGCCAAGTCTGCTGGTTCCAGGCTGCCAAGCCACGTGCCTTGGGTGTCCTACATATCCCGAGACTGGATCCAAGAAATAAACAACACCCAATGACATGGGGATACGCAGACCCCAAATGGTCCTTGGTCTGGTGCAGAATTTCTCATTCAAAACCCAGCTCTCCATGACCAGCTGTGTTCCAGGATGGAGGGACAGAGAAAAGTGAAGGTAGCCCAGGCTGATTTTGAAAGCTGGAGCAGCATGGCAGAGGAGACAGGCCCCGACAGCTCACCAGGCTACATGGCAGACAATGGAAGTTGTGTAAGAGAGGTGTATGCTCTGGGCACACAAGGGAAGGAGCCATTAATCTCTGGGGTGCGTGTGTGTGTAGGGGGGTGATTTCACACAGGAGGTGGCATCTGGGTAGGATTCTGACACATGGAAACTGGGCTGGAGAAAACCCTAGAAGGAAAGGCCCAGAGGCCTGGGGACAGGGGAACAGTCCACAGCCAGGGTGGACCTTTAGATGAGGGCAGTGGAGGGGCACGAGGCTGGCGCAGGCGTGAAAGGTCTGGAACCTCACACTAAGGAATCTGGACTTTACCCCATAGATCAATGGCTCTGGGTCTTCAAATTTCAGGGTCTGCTATGGGTTCACCAAATTTGAGGGACTTACTCAGGATGGCTAACTTATTATTTTGCCAAAAAAAGCCACTAAAACCAAAACCAAAACCTGAATGCCAACATCCACTTACTATTGTTATCATTTCATCAAAGGGCATTTTAACACCAAAATAGTAAGAGAAGACAAACCCAGAATGAAAGACAGTCGTTCTCCCCTCAAAAAGACTGTTGACCCCCTTCTGCTGACACCACATGTCCACTACACTGTCCTTGTTCTCATTTTCCACAGACAAAGGAAACTTCCTCCTAGAACGGGGCTGGAGACACAGCTGTGGGACCAACAGGACAGCTCAGCCCTGAGAGTTACACTAGTTTGTGACATGTGTTTTGTTCACAGATCCAAAAACTCAAAATGAGGTAAAGTTTATGAAAGTACCAGGCATTGTTTATGACCCTGACAGCACCATAGGGTGGAGCTGGTGCCCCTTGGGGAGAAGAAATGTTTCCATGGTCAAATGGGTTTGGGAAACACCGAGACGCTTTCAAAGTTAATTATTCATGCGTTTATTTCTGTAATACTTGAATGTGCAAGTGGTTCTTCAAGACCGCACTGCAATATGCAGTGTTTCTCTGACTAATGTGACCGTGGAAACCTCTCTCTGCAGGGACAGGACGGGGAAACCCCTCCGGCGGCTGCGGGAGCCCGCAGATGCCCATTGATTATTCAGCAGGCGGGAGGCTAGCGGCGGCTCAGCGAGCAGCAGGGCGCGCCCCGAGGAGGACCAGCAAGCACTGGTAAAGGAGGACGCCCATGCACCCGCCGGCAGGCGACAGCGTGTACCTCGAGGTCGGAGTTGATGGAGGACACCTCGGAGGAGCTGCTGGAGGACACGCGGGCCCGGATGACCTGAACGGGAGGGTACGAGGGGGGCTCCGGCAGGGACGCGTCTCCGGTGCTCGTCTGACCGTCGCCGGGCAGCCTGGTGGCGCTGCAGCCTGCCTGCAAGGTGTGTGGGAAACGGCGGGCGGGGAGACTGAGTTGACTTCTTTCTTTCTGAATGGTCAAAGCATGCACGTACTCCAGTATTCAAAAGGTAATCCTGCCTGGCCTCCTTTGTAGGGATGTCCCCGGGGCTCAGATGTAAATACCCGCGACAGCTACTTGTACTGGACCCCACATCATGAATGGCTCCAGCCGTGGATGGGGTGAGCACACAGTTTCACGTGAAAGTCGGCTGGACAGGCGGAGAAAGTCCGCAAAGGCGACAAGGGCAGCGCTCTGGGCGGCCCCTGAGCGGCGTCGGGGAGGCGAGGAGGCAGAGGGCTCCCAGCAACAGCAGTCCCAGAGTCTATATAAACTCCCCAGGGCCTGACCACACCCGAGTCAACAGAGAAAATGGAGTTTACAAATGCTCCAAGCCACCCACGCCACGGCGCCAGGGCCCTCGGCCCCCCAGCGCAGCTCCGACCCAGGCTGCATCTCTTGGACAATTTCTCCTTAGGGTGGTGGCTCAGGAGGGGAGGCTGGGAAGATGAGGGAGCCCCGTGCCGCTCTTGTTGCCCACTTCTACGTGGCTGTCCCAACAGGACTTCTATCAATACACATGGCAACAGGGTCCCTTCTGCACCACAACCTTGCCGGTGGGGACATTCTCACGAAAAAAAGAAAAAAATTGCTAACGAGCAGGCATGAAATGGCAGCACAGAGAACATGTTCTCTTTATAAAAGCTCAGGTCCCAGAAGCAGAAAGACAGTATGAAACCAATTTCTACGATTTTCTAACTACAGGATCTTGGGCAACTGACTTACCCTCTCTGTGCCTCAATTTTAAAACAACAAAATTATTAATAAATGATAATAACAGAAATAATAAGAGCATCTACTTCATAGGGTTGTTACGAGAATTTGGGTTAATAATAATTTTAAAAAGCAACTATTTGTGAACCCTTGGTGCCAGCCATTATGTCAAGTAAGAAGCAGTATTTCATAGGGGTTATGGGTACATACTCGGCAGATAAAGGTCTGAATTCTGATTCTACCACTGACAAACTGTGTGACCCGGAGCAAGGTGCTTAACCTCTCTGTGCCCCAGTTTCCTTATCTGTAAAATGAGGATAATATGTCAGGGGTTGGCTGCCAGGCTTAAAAGAGTTAATCTATGTGAAGCACATGGACCAATACTCCAGCCCACAATAAGCACCATGGAAGCGATGGCTGTTAGTATTTACCCTCAGTAAACAGAGTACCAGGGGAATGGAAGCCCTAGAGCTGAGGGAGGATTCCTGCCCAGGCTGGACAGGGAGCTCCAGGCTCCCTCTCGCCCTCTGGTGGACACAAAAGGAAGAAATCGAGCGGAAGTATTTGCTCAGAAAAGTGCTGGCGGGCCCCCAGCGGAAGAGAACGGAGGAGGACCCACTCTGCCTTCACGGAGTCTGTTCTCCAGCAGGCATCCCCTCAAGATTCAGGTCCTGGAAGGGCTAAAGCGAATGCAACTTTTGCACTATTATTTCTCAGAAGTTCCACGATTTAAAAATTCCTAGTGCACAGCTTTGGTCGGAGGCTGCCAGGGCTCCCCCATCGCCCACCCACGTACCCTCCGGTCGGAAGAAGGGCTTCCTGGCCGCCGGGGGCTGTTCCTTCTGAAAGCAGGCTCTGAATCTCTCTGAACCTCTCTGACACCTCACTCAGGGTTCTCGGCACCACTTCCCGAGGAAGAGCAACAACAAAGCGTAAAACCTCTCTCTGGGGCCCAGGCTCTCCCTGAGCGCCGGTGTGTCCCGCGGGCACCTCGGCGGGGCCTCTCCCGGTGGACTCCGTGTTCCAACACCTTTACGGGGAGCCCGTGACCGACAGGCCAGCGTCCATGCAAACAAGCCAGGAGGAGACAAAGTTTATACCCCAGCAGGAGACAGACAGCAAACAAAGGCAAAGGAGCGATAAGAGCTTCTCAGAGCATTTAAAAAGGTAATAAATCAATCTGACAGACGGGTGGAGGCCACTTTGAATGGGTGGTCAGGGAAGGTTGTCGGAGAAAGGAACATTGAAGACAAGAAAGAGGCAGCCGTGTAAAAAAAAAAAAATCAAGAGGAAGAGCTTTCTAGGCAGAGGAATGGAGAGAAATGCTGTGCAGCTGCAGAGGAGAGAAGAGCGGAAGCGAATGGAAACAGGGAGGTGGTGGTGATGGGCTGGTGGGGTCTTGGAAGTCTGTCTAAGGAGTTTGGGTTTTATTCTGCCTGAAATGAGAAGGCAGAAGAGTGTTTTAAACAAAAGAGAGCCAAGATGTAATTTACATTTGTATGAGATGCTTCTGGCCGCTGGACGCAGATGGAGCAGTGGGACAAGAATGGCACTGAAGAGCAAAACCAGTTAGGTGGCTGCTGGGTCTATTTTAAAAGTATTTACAAGACTCCCAAGGGATGGGATGGGCATGGGTGTGTAGTGAGGGGAAGAGAGGAATTTGGGGCTTGACCAGCTGCACAGACAGCGGTGTCGTTTACTGAGATGAGGCAGATGGGGAGAGGAGCCGGTCTGGGCATGGACGTCCAGGATTGTTTTGGACACGGCAAGTGTGAGATGCCATGTGGCGTCGCCAAGGCTGGAATTGAGGGAGAGGAACAGGATGGAGACTCACTCTGGGGAAACCAGCAAGAGCTGTCTTGAGAGCGCTGGGACGATGGGACTGGGAGAGTGTACCAAGAGAAGGGAGACCTCCAGGGGCAGAGCTGGGGGCGCTGCAACCTTAAAGTCCAGCTCACCAGGAGGAGCCAGCAGCCGTGATGGGGAAAGGAGATCTGTGAGGGAGGCAGGAGAGTGAGGGCCCCCGAAATCAGAAGAAGCTAGTGGCCAAGTGAGGGGAATCCCAACTAGGACAGAAACGACTGCAGGATTTAGCCACTTGGAGGTCACTGGTAACCTTGACAAGAACAGTCTTAGTGGGACAACAGAGTGGACTGCTTGTCACCTCTTTCCCTCTTTTCTCCAGCCCTCTTCCTCCTGAGGACCCCCCACGTGCAGGCCAGACCTTGGGGGTTATCTGGAGCCCTCGGTCTCCCTCACCCCACATCCTCACGCTCCCCCACGCTCTCCCTCCAACTCTCCACTCCATCTCTGCATCTCCATCTGCCCCAGCCTTCGTTCAGGCCACCCCACCTCTTTCCTGGACTTATGACTGTCCCTCACTGACCGCCTTGCTTCTAATCTCCTCTCCCCTAGTCTGCCTCCTAACCTTGCCTGAGTGATGGCTCTAAAATGCCTGTCTGACCCTGAGTCTCTAGTCCTGAAGCCTCCTGGACTCCCAGGACCCTCAGAATGATGGTTCAGCCTCCATGGTATGATGATCTCATCCTTGCCTCCTTTCCACCCTGTCATCTCCCAAACTCCCCTCCATCGATCCCTCTACTGAGGCCTTGGGGAACTCCTTCCTCTTCTTACATGCCTCCCTGCCTCATCCTGCCCATCCTGCAGCTAAACTGTCACCTCCTCCAGGAAGCCTTCCATGACTACTTCCCACCTTCTGGACACGGGGCTGTGGCCACTCACCTGCTGCACTGGCTCGATGGTCAGCTCCATGTAGGGACTGATGGCTGCCATCATCCTGAGTGACTTGCAGCGCGGTAGTGTGGTGAGAGGCACCCAATCTGTATTCTTTCAAGTGGACACGGGAAGACAGAAAGGAGAATTCTTCAAGTTAGGAGACATTTTCTAAAACAAGGTTCTGTTTTCTTCAAAAGAACCCCTACAGTATTTTGTCTGTTCTTTTAGGGCACAGCTCACTTTCTGCTTCCTATACGATACATCTTATTTCTCTCTTTGAGGTCACAGTAGGTCAGTGGTTCCCAAACTTTGTGCACAGTGCAATCACCGGGCATCTAAAAAACAAAACAAAACAACTGATGTTTACCTCTCACCCCCAGAAATTCTGATTTAATTGGTGAGTGATATGACCTGGGCATGGGAGAGCTTAAAAGTCTCCAGATGATTCTAACATACGGCAGAGTCTGGGAACCACTGCAGTAGGCGCTACATAAATGCTTTGTAAAGCAGCACTTCTCAACTTTAGCGTGCATCAGAAGCACCCAGTGGACTTACTAAAATATACATCGCTGGACCCGCACCTCAGTTCCCAATTCTGTAGATCTGGGTACAGCTCTAGAATCTGCATTTCCAACAAGTTCCCAGGCGATGCTGGTCCAGGGACCACACTTTGAGAACCACTGTTGTCAGGGCCTGCTAAAGAGCTTGCAAAGGCTTCTCCTTCCTTCTTCAGAATGCTAAGACACAGAGTTCTCTCTCAATATTTTAGCTCCCTTTGGGATATAATTTCCTAAGAGTTTCCAGAATGGAATGAAAATAACCTCCCATGATAGCCTTCATGGGAACTTGGATCTTTGGTCCAAGCACCTGTATAAACCCTTTGACCTTGGTCATGGGCACCACTATCTTCTTAGGCCTAGAACATACAGAAGAGTAGTTTTCCTTTTGATCTGTCCCAATGCCCCTGTGGCCTCCTGACTCCCCTGCACCCCATCCCAGCCAGCGGGCCCGGTTCACTCACTGTCTCATTTCCACTCTCTGAGAGAGGAAACTAAGGCGGTGAGGAGCCCAGATAAGAGGTGAGAATTCTTCCTCAAAAAATTATCTTAGGGGCCGGCCCAGTGGCACAGCGGTTAAGTTCCAGGTTCCGCTTCTCGGCGGCCCGGGGTTCACTGGTTCCGATCCCCGGTGTGGACATGGCACCACTTGGCACGCCATGCTGTGGTGGGCGTCCCACGTATAAAGTAGAGGAAGATGGGCACGGATGTGAGCTCAAGGCCAGTCTTCCTCAGCAAAAAGAGGAGGATTGGCAGTAGTTAGCTCAGGGCTAGTCTTCCTCAAAAAAAAAAATGATCTTAGAAAAGAGGAAGCTGCTTTGTGATCAAGTCCGTACAAGGACTTGATGAGGTACTGTCTTGGTTATTTGAAACCAAGGACTTCTGACAACGACAAATCGCCTCAGTTAGGATAAGTTCTGGCTACTGATAGAGGTCACTGACTAAATCAGTCAAAGAAGGAGACACGCACGGTTACCCCAGACATACTAACTCTTAACTGGTGGTACGACTAATTATAAATGGTGGATGTTACTGTCAACGATGCTTATAAAGATCAGCTTTTTAGCAATATCATCTAAAAAAAAAAGCCATGTTAGTGGTGGCAATGATGATGTCAAAGATGCATGTGAAAATGAGAATACGTTTTTATGCAATATAAGGGCAAAAATCGCATTATTTCTAAATTAATATATTAACTTATGTGTTATGTGAATTTAAATACATATATGAGTAAGTAAATTGCTAAATAGCATAAGTGGCCATTTGACTCATCTACATTGCTAAGCATATATTAAAGTTTATTAAGTGATCAAAAAACTCTTTAAAAAATGTTGTAATGGGGAGAATGGAGGATCCTATTTATTCAGGGCACCCTTAGTGTTAAAAAACAGTGGTTTTTTTTTTAAAGTGACCAACTAGCCAAGCTCGGAGGGACCCCCAGAATTCCCAGGCCTGGCCCTAGCCAGGCTCGCTGCCCGCTCTGCTTGCAAACACATAGGTGGGACCAGCGGTTTTCCAGTGATGAGACCTTGCCTCGTTCCTCGCCTCCTCGTTTTCTTGCTCTTTCTCTGCACAGGTCAAAAGGGCTTGGGTGTCAGGGCTCCCTCTGGCTTCGGAGGTGAATCCTAAGGCCCTCCTCATCTTGCTCTTCATCACGCAGGAAAGGAAAATGATCTGAGAAGTGGCGTTAAGGCCCAAAGATTCACAGCGCTTCAACCGCCCAGTGCTGCGTCACCTCTGCACCCCACGGACCCCACCCCAGGCTCTCTCCCTCCCTAATATTATCCTGCCTGGTCAACTCTAGAACAGACATGAGCTCATTCGAGGACAGGGCCACCTCTCTAAGTTCCCCCACCCTCGAGAACCCAGCCCCCAGCACCCCCCTGCCTCTGACAAGCACTTAGTAAATGCTGTTGAATAAAAGCATTTTGAAAAACATCTTTGAAGGGCATGGCTTACAGGGACAGGAGCGGTAGTGGGTTGGATAGCGTCCCCCCAAAATTCATGTCTACTTGGAACCTCAGAATGTGACCTGATTTGGAAATAGGGTTTTTGTTGATATAATTAGTTAAGATGAGGTCCTAGTGGATTAGGATGCACCCTAAATCCCATGACTGGTGTCCTTATAAGAAGAGGACACCCAGAGATACACAGAGGGAAGAAGACCATGTGAAGACGGAGGCAGAAATTAAAGTTAGGCAGCCACAAGGCAAGGAACACCAGGAGCCACCCGAGGCTGGAAGAGGCAATGGGAGACTCTCCCCTGGAGCCTCCGGAGAGAGCGCGGCCCTGCCTCGATTTCAGATGTCTGGCCTCCAGGACTGCGAGAGAGCAAATTTCCCTTGTTTTAAGCCATCCAGTTTGTGATAATTTGTACGGCAGCCCTAGGAAACTAACACAGTACACGAGAACATCGTAGTTTCTGAACTACATATGCTAAATCGACATGCACACACCATCACCACCTTGGCAGAGCTGTCACCCACTGCCTGCATCTCTGCCCGCCCAGTGCCTGCATCTCTGCCTGCCCACTGCCTGCATCTCTGCCCACTCACTGCCTGCATCTCTGCCCGCCCACTGTCTGAGCCTAGCCTGCCCTTGAGGCTCATGCCAAGGTCACTGGGGTGTCACGCATCAGCCAACACCGCCCAGGGAAGCAGGAAGGTGCTCAGCAGTCACTGACGAAGGGCAGCTCTTGTCAGCTTTCCTCTCTGCTTCCCAGCCCAGGCTCCAGCACCAAAGAGAACAGGGGGCAACGATCACCCCCACATGGCAGGTCCACTTGCAAAGCCCTTTCCCAGCCTTGAGAGGGAACAAGGCAAAGATGAGGAAAACAGGTTCGCAGAGGCTGGGGACCGACCCAGGCCGAGCAGACCCCAGACTGGACCTGGCTCTTCTGATCCAGGGCCAGGAGCCTCACACTCCCCTTTGTTGTTTCACAGAGCTCCAGCCAGGAGATAATTCTTACTATTCTTTTTTTAAAAGGAAACAAAGTACAAAATTACAAATTGCTGTTATGTCTGCCTGCTCCAGGCTTCGAACCACCTCCTGGGCCGCTGGGAGAGAGTTCCATCCAGTAAGAGGAAAGGGGGATGGGGGGTGGGTGGGCAGGAAGGAGATGAGACACAGGCAGTCAAGCCCCCTGGGCCTGGGTGGATACAGCAAGGTCCAGCGAGGCACGGCCGAGGGAGGTCAGGAACCAGGGAGTGGCCCGAAGCAGGTACTCAGGCCGCCGGTCATGGGCCACGATGGCTGAAGCGTAGAGGAGGCCAGCCAGGGCCGACAGGAGCCGGGTCCACAGGTGGATGGAGGGAAACGTCCTACCCCGGCACTGGGCAGAGAGAGGAGGGGGCTGGGCGGGGAGGAACACTACACCCACTGCAGGTCCCTGGGAGCTGGATTCTAAGGCCCCTGGTGGCACAGCAGGTTGGAGGGCAAACCTTCTGCCCATGGTCAGTCCACAAGGGTGCTGCTTCTGTTGGGCTTCCAGCTTTTGCTCAAGCCACTTACTTTAACTGATGAACTCCTATTCATCCCTCAGAACCTGGCTTAAGCTCAACTCTGGGAAACCTCTGGTTACCATCTCTACCCTAAGTGGAGTGAGTAACTCCCTCTTCCGGGTCCCATTGCACAGTATACATCCCTCCAGTGGACTGCGTTTCACCCAGACCATGACTTAGCTCCTTACACATGTGTCTGCCCAACAGACAGAGGGCTCCCAAGGGCAGGGCTGGGGTCCTCACCATCTCAGGGCCCCTGGCCCCTGGCCCCTGGCCCCAAGTCGGGGCTCGTGAATGTCAGCTGGGAGAATGTGAGGGAGCTGTGAAGAATTAGGACTGAATTACAAAGAGCCAAGGCTCAGCTCTCTCTTCTTGGGACCATCAGTTCTGAACAAGGCCAAATGGGGAAGGTCAGGAAAATTACACGTAACGTTCTGGAAATTTTGAAGCCAAGGGTATATTTTTGGAGAATGAGTAATGGAAATATTGATTGAAACAAAAGAAAACATATAATATTTATATGTAAGTATTGTTTATGGGTATGAAGTCACTTTATATATACATTTATATGTATATACACAAATAGATATATGATCACATAGTATATTTAAATTAATATATAAATATAAATTATATTATTTGTATCTATAATGAGTTTGCTCATTAGATGACCATATTTAGAGATAATATAGGCCTTGGCTAGGGAATGGAAAAAATTCAAGGGAAAAGGGCATGTTTTGGACAATTTTCCCCATTTTAATTAACTCCCCCCAAAATGCCTCAAGAGAGTTACATTTCCCTCTGTATTTCTTCTACTTTTGTTCCCAGGTCTCCCTGCTTCTCCTGCCATCCCTTAAGCGAGACAGCACCCAGGCCAGGGAGGGGGTGGGCGGCCCCCCGCCCCATCAGCCCTTCCGCCCCACAGAGCCCAGGAAGCACCTTCATGCCAGTCAGCCCTGCTATGGCGAGAAGTCCCTCAGTCTACCCATCCTCATTTTACAGAGGATACTGATGGCCAGAGAGGGGAGGTGATGTGCAGGGTGGGGCTGGGCCCTGGGCCTCCTGCCCCTTGGCTTTGTTCTTGCCGCTCCTCTGGGTGGGTGGAAGCTGGAGCCCTCTGCTCTCACCCCTGTGCCAGCTCACTCACGGCTCACTCACACTGCCCAACCACTTCCAAACCCAGTGTCCCTCCAGGGCCTAGAGCGCTCTATTTGCCTGCCAGTCTGGACACACAGTAGGTGCTTAATAACTGCTTGAAGAATGGAACTGGCTCGGTGACTCAGGATATGGCAGGACTTTCTCCAGCACAGCCAGGCCTTATCCAGCAGGTCAGGACAGAACGCTGGGGGCCGAGCGAGCCTGTGGCTGCCTAGCAAAGCCGTGCTGGGGCTGGAAGCAGGCCACACCTCCGACAGCTCCCGCAGCAGCCAGGTGCTGTCAGCACGATGTTTCACTGCTCAGCGGGAGTCTAACAGCCCTTGTCCTGTTCAAGGGCTCACTCCTGGGAGAACGTGAACTTTTCCCACCAAAGCCACCCAGCCATTCCACTCCTCAGTGCCCCCATGAGGGGTAAATTAGGAGCAGCTCCTAGGGGATCCAGGGTCTGAGACATTGCTGGCTAGGCTTTCCAGAACACCCCAAACTCTGTTGAGTTTCTCCTTAATAAGGAGACCGGACCCTGGGCCCTTCTTCATGAGACCAGAGACACTCAGGGCTGGAAGCCTCTCAGAGATTGTCCAGCCTAATCCCAATGCAATCTCACTTTCTCCTCCTGCCAAGGAGGCATCAGGCTTGAATGCCTCCTGTGATGGGGAGCCCACTACCTCCCAAGGCAGGAATAACAGTACTGATGGCACTCAACATGCCAGGCACTTGCAAAATGTCTAACCCAAGAAGTTCTTCCTTTACTGAATGGGGAGTAGCCCTCCCAATACCGTCTTGGTTATTGGTTCTGGTCCTGGTCTTGGTTCTGTTCTCTGAGAGTGCAGAGGAGAGGCTGTTCCTTCTGCCCCAGGACAGCCCTCGTGACTCCTGCATCCGTGAGCTTCCTTTCTTCCAGGCCAGATTAAGTCACTCATTCAGAAGTGTTTGCTGGCACCTACCATGGGCAGGCCCCAAGCACCCGGAATACAGTGGGAATAAAACAGACAAGGCCGCTGCTCTCACGGTACTAATGTTCCGCTGGGGACCAGGCAGCCACTTGGTAAATAAGTGAAGGAGCTAATTTCAGGTTGTGACAAATACTAAGAAGAAAATGAAGCAGCGTGAGGGACACCGTGGTGGGGTTGGCCCAGGGCTGTTGTAGGTGGGGTGGTGTTACGGGTTGAATTGTCTCCCCCAAACCCCCAGAGCCTGTGAACGTGGCCTTATTTGAAAAAAGGGTCTCTGCAGATGATCAAGTAAAGATGAGGTCATTAGGGTGGGCCCTAATCCAGTACGACTGTGTCCTTCTACAAAGGGGAAAGGTGGACAGAAACACCTGCAGAGGGAAGGCCATGGGATGTGACACACGGGGAGACTGGAGTCATGCTGCCACCTGCCAGGGACCTCCCAGAAGCCGGGAGAGAGGCCTGGAGCAGACCCATCCCTAGTGCCTTCTGAGGGAGCATGGCCCTGCTGACACCTTGATTGCAGACTTCCGGCCTCCAGAACCATGAGACAGTACATTTCTGCTGTTCAGAGTTTGGGATAGCTTCTTATGGCAGCCGCAGGAAACTAACACAGATGGCCAGGGCACTGCACCAGTTCCTTCGAAGATCTTCACATGGCCTGGCAGCTTCCCAGCCCCCGTGCCACCCTGGAGTCCCCCCAGGGGCCGCTGAACCGAGTGCAGTGCTCGCCACCCTCCTCTGCCGTGATCTGGGGACAGCACCTTCGCCGGTGAGGCCTCATGTCCCATGAGGTTTCCGGCTGTCACAGCACAGGCAGGAGCTTCCCACACATGATCAACTCCACACCTGCCATCCCCGAGTCCTGTTCTCCTGGAACTGCTAGTAAACGATGCTCTTGGGCAAGTGATTGTTTTTAGACTAACTGATGGGCCCATGATTTCCGGTGTTGGGCCTGGCATCATTCCCGTCAGCAAGGCCCTCCCGGCAGAGTTTTCACACGTCCCCAGTATCTTGCTCTTCAGCGGGGACTTTCCTGCTTCAGTGGCTTTTCCCGCGTGCTCTCTTCTTTCCCTCATTTCTGCCTCCTCAAAGCCCACCTTCCCTTCGGAGCCAACCTGAGGCTCTCCAGTGCCCCACCGCCTGGCAGTGTGAAAGTCTTCATCCTCGCTCATTTGAATAGCGTAGGAGCCTTTCCTCCTTCTTCCAAGACCTCAAACTTTTGACTCCATCTTTCTGAGAGCATTAAAATAGCCTGCATTACATTTCTGTGTCTTCCATGAGACTGAGCTCCCCCAGGGCAAACATGGCGTCTGAGCATCTGTACCCCCACAGGACGGGCCACACAGGGCTTCCCTCACGCCACATGCTTGGAAAATACATGCCAACACGATGCTCTCGAATACACAGAGCCCCAGTGGCTGCTTGATTCTCGCCTCTAAAACCTCCTCATTCCATAATGGGACAGCTGTTCATCCAAGCCCAGGGCCTTTTCCCCCAGAGCTTGCTTTTCATTTGCTACAAGAAATGGAGAGAATGCAGTGGGCTCTCTCCCCGTGAGAGGCTCTAGTGGCCTCAGGACCTCCCCTGGGCCAGCTGCCCACTAGACACACACACACAGGGTGACACCACCCCTCTGCCCGGGTGACCTGGAGCTTCAAGGATGCTCCCAGATGCCCTAAGACCTGCCACAGTGGCCCATAGTCCCAGCCCCAACCCCGGGCTCACGATTCTGGAGAGCGGGGGGATCCGGGAGGCCCAGGAGCCGAGGGCGGCGATGCCACCCAGCAGGTAGCCGAGGATTTCGGTGTTGTCCTGTGGGGACAGTGATGCACTCAGCACCCGGAGGAGACCACCCACGTGTCCCAGACCTGTCCTTTCCTGCTTTTAGTATGTTCCTCCCAACAGCAGCAAAGCCTAACCCTGCTCCCCCCAGGGCATTGCTGGGACTGTGAGGGGGGACAGGACTCTCACTCCCCCACGGCCCCCAGGGCTGGCTCGGCCTCACCTGCAGAAAGCTTCCCAGGAGCCTCCGCTGCGGCCCTCGGATGAGGCCTGATGCCTTCGGGACAGCGGCCCAGAGGGCCCAGCCAGGGCCCAGACTCAGCGGCAGGGCCAGGGCAAATAGGCTGGCCCTGAGCCGCCGCTTCCTCTTCCTCTCCCGGGAGCCCCGACCTGCAACAGACACCAAGAGCCCACAGTGCGCCTGGGATCTTGAGCTCGACAGACAGGTGCATGGGAAGAAGTGGTGTCAACCCAGCCCCGAGGCCAGAACCACTCCCATCATGTTCTACAGGCCACGTCCTCCAGCCTTCAAGGCCCTGTGGTTGTGCCACCTTTCTGGAAAAGTCTCTCCTCCTCCCTCCCATCTTCCCCCAACACGACTGGTGCTGTTCTCCTTCCTCAGCCCTCAAAGCGTTTTATGGTTCAAGGCAGGGGAGACGTCATCCTCTGTCAAATGTATCTGCGCACACACAGTGTCGCCTCTCCTAGACCGGAAGCCCTGAGGGCAGGCACTGTGCCCTGTGCCCTGGCAGCTTCTATAACATCCACAGAGCCTGGCACAGAGCAGAACCGGCTCAAGCTTGGGGAGGGCATCAATGAGTGAACGTGTTGGTGCCAGGGCACCGGAATGGTGAGCAGGACCAGGAGCACCGTCTTTAAAAGTCTCCTTGAAATGTAAGACAGGTACTCCTCTGATCACTTCTAATAGGAACGCTTCTCTCTGGGCAGCATCAGCAGCTGAGGGCATCTTACATTTTCCCACTGACACAACCATCCCCTTTTGGGATAAGTGGCCAAGGACACTGCTGCCCCTTCTCAGGAACCTCCCAGTTCCTCATACTCAGGGTACTCATCCCATCTCAGTGACTTACAGCCCCCTCTGCCTGAAGTGGCCCGCGCCCACTCCTGGCATCCATTTCTGGAAGGTGTGGGGCTTCGCTTGGCCACCCTGGACTTGCACACTGAGATATCACTGTTCATCCCCAAAGCCACGCACCACCGCTCCTCCTGGCCTTTGCCCATGCTGTTCTTTTCTCTTGGAATGCCCTTCCCTGCAGTCTTAGTTCCAACATCTCATCCTCCTTGACACCTGCAGCCCCTTCCCTCCCTTGGTTGCCCACGGGGTGCATGCACCTCCTCACTAGCAGCTCTAGTGATCGTTTAGGGCCCTGTCTCCTCCATCCGGCGGAGGTCAGGGAGCCCGTTCATTCGCCTGTGCCTGGCAGGCGCCCAGCTCGGGTGTGACAAGAAGTAGGCACTCAGCGCCCTGACAGATGAAGACAGGAACAGACGGCCACACACTCACCCGAATTAGGCTTGTATCTGGAGCCGCAGACTGGGAAGAGAATGAACACAAAGTTCACCAAGTCAACAGCTGCCAGGTAGGCACCAGTGAAAACCTGGGAGCAGATGGAAACAGAGACCCGGTGTTTAAACATCGTTCAGCCATGACATTGTCTCTCATCCCAGATCTCCTCTACCACGTTGTTCTTCCAATATGCGGTGCTTCCAGGGAGCCTCCCACCAGCCCCAAGAGAGTCGATTATCATCCCTGTTGGACTGACGAGGAGACGGGGCGCTTAAATGACCAATCCCATTATGGCCGATGCCCATGGGTAGAGATGGGACCAGAACCTAGCCCTCTGCACCCTACACAACACTCTCCACCACACGGTTAGCCTCTGCTGCGTAACTGTGGCCACTGAACTCTTCTGGGCCTGTTTCCTCATCTGGAAGCCAGGGATAATCACGGTGCCCGCTGGCCCCCCACCCCGCCCACGGACTGTTAAGCAGATTATGTGAGTCAATACATGGAAAGTGCTTAGACCAGCGGCTGAAGGAAAATAAAATGCGCCCACCCACAAATGCCCCAGCCACCATGACAGGACGGTTGGCGGGAAGAGCATGTGCTCTGGAGTCTTAATCCTGGCATGGCCACTTACTAGGGGGTGACCTTAGAGAAGTTATTGAACCCCTCTATGCCTCAGTTTCCACACGTCTAAAACACGGGTAACGAGAGCACCCACGTCATAGGATGACTTGAGGATTAAATGAATTAATACGTGGAAAGCTGTCAGTGCCAAGTACGTAGCTGAGAATTTAATAAATATTAGCTGTTTTTATTGGACTTGAGCAGGGCCTCGTTATAGCCTATCAGCCAATGAGAATGGGCCCCCAAAAGATGATGCTTTTCTGAGACAAGAGTGCTCACAGCAGCATCTAGAACTCTCCAAATCTGGGTCCCGACCACTAGGCTGCCCTTCTTCATGTCTGCCTGGGTGGGCACAAGGCTAGGACCAGCCCCATGAGGGACCCCCACCCTGGGGCCCAACAGATTCTCCTTGGCGTATGTGTTTTTGCATAGGCCCCTTCTCTGCAGGTTTGTCTGAGGGCCTAGACTTTGGGAAAACTTGAAACCCTTTCTCACTTGCTCTGAAGCCCGCATCACCACTTGGGAAAGGCTTCAGCAGCCCCTGCATGAGCTGGGCTGGTCCCAGGCTCGAAATCAGTAACAAGGACAATCCCTGTTTATGGAGTATCGACTATATGCCAGCTGCTGTTCAAAGTGATGGAGATTCAGTAGTGAAGACAAATTCTCGCTCCTGTGGAGTGGACATTCTGGCAGGGGTTAACACACGATAAGCCATAAACATAACCAGAATGTACAGTAGATGGTGGGTTCGGGGTACGCTACAGGAGAGCACAGAGCAGGATGAGGGGGTCTGGAGCGTGTGGTAGAGGCAGAGCACACTTTTAAACAGATGGTCGGGGGAGGTCTCATTAAAAGGGTGACTTTCAAGCAAAGACTTGAAGGAGGTAAGCAGTGAGCCATGTAGCTATGGGGCAAGAGGATGGATGGGGCCCTGAGGTGAAACTGTTCCTCATATGGTGAAAGAACAAGACAGAAGCCACTGTCACCTGCGGGCCTGACGCACCTGGATCGTGAGCTGTCTGGCCAGAATCGCCCCGACGGTGTCACACAGGCTGGTCAGGAGGCAGCAGGCAGCACACGGCGCCGTCTGGTCCCGTCTGGGTTTCTTTGAACATCTCAGATAGAGAAGCCTGGGTGACAGGGGTATGGACAGAACACAGGGCCGTGAGCTTGGGCTCCCAAAGTAGGGTCTGAAAAGGGCACTGGGAATTTGTGTCTTCATGAAGCACTTTCCCCCCAGGTAATCAGCAGGTGTCTTTGGACTCAGTTTACAGACGAGAAAAGAAAGGATCAAAGACTCCCAGGACTCTGGTCAACAAGCCTGCGGGAGCCCGACCCCAGGAAACCTGGAGACACTCGCCTCTAATGCCTCTAATGAAGAATTTCTTTCCTCCTGCAAACCACGCCCCCCCCCACCCCCCGCCCCGACTCAATTTAATGACCCACCACTCAGTGCTGACAAACGAGCTGTCAGGTTTCATGTTTTGAAAGGAAGCAGGAGAGTTATAAAAGTAACTTGACAATGCAGTTAACTGCAGAGCAGGGTTACCCGCCTAAATTAAAAAGGCAACTGGTTTCTTTGACATTAACGTGAAGTCCTTATACTCCCTCCCGGCAGTGGGGTGGCCTGGCTTCTGCCACCGGCATCCAAGGTGATTTCATTTGGGTGCATGTTCTCACTGCTGGCTTCTCTCCCTATTCTCCTCTTTCCACGCCCCCCCCCCCCCCCCCACACTGCCACACACCCAGAGTCAAGTGCAGAGACGCAGACAGGCTGGACAGGGCCAGAGGTTTCTTTGGCATCATTGATCGGATCTCGGAAACCATGTTGTTTGCCTGCTCCATTTCTATGGAGAAACCGAGGCACGACCACAGCGGCTCGGGTTTCATTACCTTTAACCACAGGGCGGTACTCACTGCACCTCATTAAGACTGTTTGCGGCGTTCTGGGTGTCAGCCCTGGTGCCTAAGGATAGGAGACTATTTGGGTTCCCAAACATTGCCTGACCTGCCGGACGAAGCCTGAAGCTCACAGGGGGAACATCACCCTTTTGAATTTGGGTCCCGGGCTCCTGAGAGTGATACAAGGCCTAGGAGTGAAGACTCTAAATTAGAGACTCTGAGCTAGCCCAGATCAGAAAGAATTATTTCAGCCCTCCCATTTGGGAGAGGGGAACTCGGAGGCCTCTGGTGGTAAGGTATGTCACGCGTGCAGGCTCTGTTCTGCACCTGCTGCTCTTCAGCACTTCCCCGGCTCTCAGGGGTCAGGGATCCCGGGCTGACCATAAGCCAGCCCACACACAGCTCAGAGGAGATACAGTCCCCAAAGACGAACAGTGGATCAGGGAGAACGAAGTCCTGAAAACAGATGGGCATCTCCAGACCTGAGGCAGGGGGAAAAGCAGAGGCTCTGCTCCCACACCGACTGGCTGGGCATTCTCGAGGGAGTGCTTAACCTCTCCAAGCCGTAGGCTAGTAATCTAACAGTCTAATGTCTGCTAATGCTGACCTCGAGGGCGGCTGTGAGGAACAAATGAGATCATGCGCGTCAAGTGCCTGTTAGCTTCCACCCTCTGATCTGCAGACTTTAATCCTCACAAGCCTGCCCCTTTCTAATAGGATCTGGGGTTTCGCTTCTTCCCATTCACTGAGGCAAGTTAGTTAACCTCTAGGAGCCCTGGGCTTCCTCATCTAAACGGGGGCAATAACAGTCCCTACCTCCTGGGGTTGTGGCAGGGGTTAAAAGAGTAAATGAATGCAACAGCAGCCCACAGTAAATGTGCTAAGTGTCTCTGTATTCGTTTTCCAGTGACTAGTTAGTGGGGCTGCAGGATCTCCGCAACAATATCAAGCCCGAGGGTACTCCATCGAGTGCCTAAGGTGAGCGGTGCCAGCCTCCCCCAGAGGTGCTGGTCCTTTCTGCTCTGCCAGGAAATATTTAGGTGGCACCATGCTGGGCATTGCTTGTACCAGTCTGTGGATTTCTGAGCTTGGGACAGGGCGGCTGAAGACCCGCAGGCCAACTTTAACCAGCGCTCACCATTAGAACCCAGGTTATGGTGACCACCCGGCCAGACGGCTCCAGATGCTGGACAGACCAGGGCAAAGGCTGTGGCCAGAGACAGGTCATCACCACCCACCTTCCCAATTAAGAGGGCCTTAGGTAAATTGAGGCCAGAAACAGCGAGAGACTCGTCCAAGGTCCTTGCCCTCTGCCAAAGGTTGGTGGCAGAGCCGGAGCAATAATCATGACGTTTCATGGGCACTTACTAAGGGCTTTACCGGTAGTAACTCATTTAATCCTCCCATGCGTCCTATGAGTTATCATCCCCGTTTATGTGAGGAAAATGAGGCCCAGTGGTTCTATCGGTTGCCCAGCTCACACGGCGAGTCAATGGGGAAAGGCTGACAATAGAACCCAGGGCTCACGGCTTCCCGTCCAGGGCCCCATCCACCTGCCCAGCCTCCTCCTGCTGGCTCGCAGCCCAGCCTCCCTGTGCGTGGAATCCGGAAAGAAGTATCGGACTTCAATCTACAGCAAAATGTTAGTTTCGATCCTGGAATTGTGCCGCCTCATGGACCCTCCCTTTCTGCCCCCTTCCCTCTAGGCTTCCAAGAGGGAGTAAGCAGCGGGGGAGCGCCCCATTCCCCCCGCGGCAGCCCCGGTCGCCCAGTCCCGGTCCCCATTACAGCGCGTGGGCGGCGATCCAGCAGGAGGAGGAGCAGATCCACAGGCCGAAGGAGATGCAGACGCGGTGGCGGGCGAAGCAGCGGTCCAGGTAGTCCCAGTCCCAGAGCGCGGGCGAGGGCGAGGGCGCGGGCGCGGGCGCCGGGCTGGGCGCCTCCCCCATGGCACGGCTCGGCTCCGCCCGCCGCAGTGTCCGAGCCTCCCGCGTGGCCGGGGACCCGGGCGCAGCCTCCCTCGGCCGCGGGCAGCCCCGGCCGCTGCCGCCCCGCGCCCCCTTCTCTGGGAGCGGTTCCGCCGCCGCGGCCCCGGACGAGCGCACCGACCCCGGGCGGGGATGGGCGCGCCCAGCAACGCGCTCCCGGGCGGCGGCGGCGGCGGCGGCGGCGGCGGAGGAGACACGAGGGAAAAGTTTCCGGGACCGCGCGTCTCCCCACCCCTGCCTATTGTTGGGGGTCGACGGGCCGGAGGCCGCCCCCCAGCGGCGGGAGCCGGTAGCAGCCTCCGCACAAAGGCTGCGGCCCCCGCCCCCCAGGCAGTGGTGGCCGCGCCGCGCCCGCGGACCCCTTTGCAGTCACCCACGCCCAAAGCCGGCGGCCGGAGGGGAACGCAGTGACCTGCCGGGTCACTGTAAGGCACTTTGTCCGTTCATTAACCCGCCACATTTTCTGAGCTAAGCAATACACGTACTTCGCGCCTGCCGAAGCGCTTGGATGCTGGGGATCCCGGGGTGAGTGGGGCCTGGTCCTGATGGTTAAAGGGTGCCATGCAAAGGGTGCAGAGGGAGGCCGGGAAGGAGGAAACAAACGCGCCGGCGAACATATCCTGCCCCCCCATCTTCTCGCACTCTCTTTCCTGAAACCGTCAGCGGCCCCCTCTGCCCCCACTCAGTCACCCAAGCCAGACTTCTGGAAGTCATTCTAGAAGGCGACCCCAGCAGCCAAGGAGGCAGATGATCTTAGCAATCTGTCCCCTGCCATCCAGCCCCACAGCCACACAATTCTGGTGCGCAGAGCTGTTTTTTCTTTTTTGAAAACAAAACTATTATTGTAATTTTTGAATTTCCTTGCTGATTTTAATTTGATTCAGTCTTTATGACAGCTTGCCTCTCCTCCAGGGTCAGCCTAAACCCTCGGAAGGTGGGCCTAGTTTAAAAATTGCTTCAATCCTCCCCACCCACCCTGGACCGGTTGACACACCTCGACAGTTTTTTCTTAGAATAGTAATTAATTCTCTACGTTTTTTGTGACCTCTTTGAGAATCTGAAGAAAACCTCATCCCTGAAAAATATGTGCACATCCATACAGAGTTTCTCCTGCAATCTTCAGGAATTTATGGAATGCTTGAAATTCAATTATGGATTCCATGGAGGAGTAGACCCCAGACTAAACCCCCTCGTTTAAGGGTTTGAGTCCTCTGAGTCCGCTGCCTGAGCACTGGGGTGGTCTGGTCCATAGATCACTGGTATCAGAATCATTCTGGCTGATGTCAAAAAGCAGACCCAGTAAATCCAGCTCTCTGGGCACGTGTCCTTGGAATCTGCATGGATTCATTTCCTAGAACTGCTGAAACAAATTACCACAAGTTTAGTGGCTTAAAACAACATAAATTTATTCCCTCACCGTGTGGAGATCAGAAGTCTGAAACCAGTGTGTGGACCAAAATCAAGGGCTGCCTCTCTCTGGGGCTTTGGGGTGAGGGGAGAATCTATTTCTTGTCTTGCCTCTTCCGGCTTCTGGTGGCTGCCAGCATTCCTTGCCTTGTGGCCGCCTCTCTCTGATCAGCCTCTGCCTCCTGCCTCCACGGCCACACTGAGTCCTCTCCTGTGTGTTAGGTGTCCCTCTGCCTCGCTCTTATAAAGACACTTGTGATTGCAGTTATGGCCTGCTCACATAATCCATGGTAATCCCCGGGTGTCTCAAGATCTTTAACTTCATCTGAAAGGACTCTTTTTCCACGTAAGGTAAAATTTACAGGTTGCAGGAATTAGGACTTGGCATCTTCCGGAGCCATTATGCAGCCTACGACGCTGCATTTTCACAAGTTTCCTGGGAGATTTTAATGAGAAACACTGGTTGTGGAGACGGCCCTCAGTGAGGCGTGGGGAGCTGGGGGAGCAGTTCCCAGTCACTGGACTGTCGGCTCCGAGAAAGATGTGATGAGAACGGGGGCCTTAAAGCCTGCAGATCTTGGACGGAATTGTCACTCTGCCTCCTGGCAGTTGTGACCTGGGGTGAAGCGCTGATCCTCTCCACGCTTGAGGATTCTCACCTGGAAACTGAGAATGGTACCTACTGTAGAGTTACTGTGGTTGTTAGAAACTCTGCAGGTAAAGCATCTGGCACATGTCAACAGTGGAAATTATTATTGTTGTTGTCTTTCCTAGGAAGAGCCTCAAATCCACTCAAAAAAATGGTTCAAAGAAAATGGGACAAGGAAGGTCAATTCATGATAGGGAGACACAGAGCTCAGTTCTTGGGTCTTTTCTCGACCAGATGCCAGAAGCACCTGGATTTCTGGCTTTAATACTGTGGCTCGGCCTGTGCCTCCGAGCGAGCATCTCCAGGGCAGCCCTCCCGGGCTTTAGACTCACACAGGCAACTCGACATCCCCACTTGCATGTCTAATAGAGCACATCTGAAACCAAACTCGTGATTTTTCCTCCCAAAGCTACTCCGCCTGCTGTCGTCCCTGCACAGGCCGCCTGGGTGTCCTGGTCCTGTAGGGGCCCAAGTCCCCGTGCCTGTGCTCCTCCGCTAGTAGGGCGCCTCTCAAGCTGTCTTTCTACCAGGCTGTGAGCGTCCTGCAGCTGGGGTTGTTGAGTTCATACCTGTAACCTCAGCTCCCAGCTCGGTGCCTGGCACATGATAAGGAAAATATTTACTGAATGAATAAATTGATTTTTAAACAACCTGTAAAAATGTGATATGTACTATAGTAAGAGCATATTTAAAATGCTTTGGCAACACCTAACGTTGTGGGTGTGGGTGTGGTGGGGAAAGCTTTCAAGAAACGCCTCAGCTGGCTTTGGAGAATAAGTTTGCTCTTGGCAACGAGGCCATGGCGCCAGCCCCGCAAAGGCCCTCCTGGAGGCAGGAAGGGCAAGGCTGTGGACAGGGGCAGGTGGCAGAGGTGCTGCAGCCAGGGTAGGAGATGAAGTGAGAGGCAGGCCGCGGCTGGCTGGTCACGAGGGAATCAGGACTTCATCCTGTGGGGACCCTTAGGATTACATGTTCTGACCAACTCCCTCCCTGGCCCCAGGACCCCTCCCTAAGCCTCCCAGGACCTTCCGTGGGGCTCTTCACACGGTGGGTCAGCGCTCAGGAAGTGAATCAGTTCCTTTTCCAGGCTCCTGGGGCCTGGCAGCTGTCTCGCCCCAAAGCTAAAGCCAATGCCTTTGGCCTTGGTCCAGAGTTTGCCGAAAAGGAAAACTAACAAGAGGAATCTTGCACATGCCCTGTCCCAGCTCCCAGGCATTTTCTGTTGGCAGAGGCACTGCGCCCGCAGGCGTCGTCCTGAAGAAGCGGGTGGCCCTGCAGGAGCAGGGGTCGAGGCCACAGTCCCAGCCACTTGCGGGGGATGGGCCGGCAGCTCAGCGGCTTTCTCCTGAGGACAGTTGCTTCCTGCCAGTCTTCTTGTAAAATGTATTATTTAGAGGCAGGGCTTGTGGCTACTACTCAAACATTACAAAAAGCTCTACGGCAGTTTGATTTACCTGCTGTAAATAGGGAGAAAGCGATTCTAAGAGAAAGCATTTGGAAGTAGTGGCTTTTCCAAATTTTACTGAGTCCCGTTGTGGACGTGTTGGAGCGTCACGCCTGAAGCAGGTGGTGGGACTGTCGGGGTCCTGGGCCCTATTTAACACTCTGTCATCAACTCACTGTATGATCTTGTGAAGGTTTCTTCACTTTTTCCCCCTCAAATTCCTCATTAATACCCTCCGGTTGCTGAAAGTCACTTAGTTCGAGATGCTCAGAAGCTAGGCAAGGGCTGATGGAACTGAATGACGTTGAAACGCTCCCCCAAGGAAAGCCCTACATTTTCAAAGAGGCAAATCTCAGTGAATGCTGTCTAATAGCAAGGCAACTCACCTTTTAAAAAGAGCCAACTAAATGGCATTCAGTATTGGAATATTTGCATTGAAATAATTATTGAAAATAAATATAAGTTCTCACCACAGTTGACAATTCAGAAAGAAACCAGCATCCTGCCAAGTTCATACACCTGATACTGGATATCCCCACTTCCCAAAAGCTGGCGAAGGTGGAGTAAAAAGAGGAACTAGGTTTCTTTCCCTTTTTTTTTTTTTTTTTAAAGATTGAGATTAAGCCTCAGCGAGGAGGACAACTCTGGATGGTGATGGTAAGTTAGGCAAGTGAGAGGGAAGGTGAGCTTTTTTCCCTTTTTTTGGGGAAATAGCCTTTTTTTTTTTTTTTTAAGATTGGCCCTGAGGTAACATCTGCTGCCAATCTTTCTCTCTTTTTCTTTTTCTCCCCAAAGCCCCAGTATATAGTTGTATATCGTAGTTGTAGGTCATTCTGGTTCCTCCAAGTGGGATGCCGCCACAGCATGGCTTGATGAGCAGTGTGTAGGTCCATGCCCAGGATCCAAACTGGAGAACTCTGGGCTGCCAAAATGGAGCACGCAAACTTAACCACTTGGCCACAGGGCGGGCCCCAAGAACTACCTTCCTGTTAATTGTGATAACTATTTGATTCTAGCCAGCCTTGTTGGTCTAGTGGTTAAGATCCAGCGCTCTCACTGCAGTGGCCCAGGTTCATTTCCCGGTCAGGGAACCACACCCTTGTTGGTTGTCACACTGTGGCGGCTGCGTGTTGCTGTGATGCTGAAAGCTACACCACCGGTATTTCAAATACCAGCAGGGTCACCCATGGTGGACAGGTTTCAGTGGAGCTTCCAGACTAACACAGACTAGGAAGAAGGACCTGGCCACCCACTTCCAAAAAAATTGGCCATGAAAACCTTGTGAACAGCTGTGGAGCACGGTCTGATACAGTGCCGACAGGTGAGAGGATGGTGCAAGGGACCAGGCGGGGCTCCGCTCTGCTGTCCACAGGGTCGCTGGGAGTTGGAATCAACACAATGGCACTAAAAACAAAATTTGATTCTAGTCTCCTGGTATAATTCTGTCTGTTCTTCTAAATGGCTCTTAAGCCATTATGGCACTTAATTGTCTATTCATATGTCCTCTCATTCTCCAACTTTTTTATTTTGATAAACATTTCAAAACTACAGAAAAGGTGAAAGAATACCTCGATTCACCAATTGTTAACATTTTGCCACATTTTGTTTTCTGTCTCTCACTCCACTGGGAACCATTTGAAACTGCAGCCATCATGACACTTTACCCCTAAATGCATCAGCCTGTCTCT